AGGTTTCAGGAGTCAGCTGGAGGATACAGGCATGCAGGCGCAACACCCATTTAGCACTCCTATTTTAAACCCCTCCCTTCAATGGTATCTATGGCATTAATGTGTCACTTGTGTCGCCTGCTAGTCTGAAAGACTTGCTTTACCCTCCCATCCTCCCACAAAAATGTACAATTCTATTTGTAAAGCTTAGTTTCCAGTCCTAATGATGTAAATCTGGTTTTTTTTTTATAGCATTCTGACATGTGAGATACTAAAAGGCCAGTTGAACTGCTTTTATGTATTTTTTGACAGTAGCTGTGAGATGCTCTGCCTTTGGTTTGACATCTCTGTTAAGACAAAGACAAAAGAACACTTCTGTACTGCTACATCAAATGCTCTGACATCCATTCATCCGCCATTCGCTGTAATGTAACAATTGTTTTTTTTTTCCTAATATCTGCCCACAGGCTGCAGAGACGAAGAACGTCGACCTGGAGCGGAGGATAGGGGGTCTTCAGGTGGACATAGACGACAGTCGACAAAAGCAGAGCAACATGAAGGGCGAGCTGAAGAACTTCATGGATATACTGGATGGAAAAATAGACGAGCTGCATGAGTTTAGGCAGGGGCTCTCCAAGCTAGGTGTTGATAATTGAAAAAAGTGGCACTGAGTTGAAAAGGTCAGAGGTCAGGTACAAAGGATTCACTACAGTATGTCTTCAGGGCAGAAACTATGTGGCACCTACTCCCCCAAGGTGATGTCCACTCAATCAGCTTTGGCTTCTAATAAACACTACCATGTGAGAGAGATTTTTTTGGAGAGGGAGAGAGAGACTGGCAGGAGGAAGGCCAGCATGCTCCACCAAATGGCTCCATTTTGTATGCTGGCATTCTGAAACTAAATCAAGAGTCACACTTTGAGCTTACTTACCCATTTCTGGGGGGGGGGACGGCTTTAAAAGCTGGTGGTGGGTTCTTAGATTCTGTCCATCTGTCTTTTTTTCTGAAGGCTGCAGCACTTCATCACAGACAGTCTGAGTTTAGAGTAGAAGAGGGGACTTAAAAGGGCTAAAATGAATAACACACAAAGACAATGCTATTCAGCATCACTCAAGTAATAATTGGTGTTAATCCTTGTGGCCCCCTCAGAGAATTAGATATGAAATCTTTCTACAGACTGTCCTTGCTGTTGCCTCTCGTCTATCTCAGGTGTGTTAGAAGACAGTTTGTACTCATTAGATTATATGCACATATATGACAAATGGCCGTGACACAAAGTGCCTCCAGGTGAGTCTAAATCTACCTGGCAAGGAGAACTGGCCAAGTGATGACCATCACCATAATAATAACTTTGATGATTTTTTTTTATGAGAAACCCCGATGAAAAAACAAACATCCTACTACAAATAAAATGAGACGAAGAGAGAAACGCAGGCAGTCGAGCCCATCCCGAGGAAGTTAATGTGGCTAATGGATGCCAATGCGGTGACAAACCACAGGTGTTTGCACACAAAAAAAAACGACTGAGAAGGGACTGCAGCAGGAATTCATCAACTCTCTTGTGAGTGTTTTCAGTAAACACACAGTTTAATTATATTTGCATAAAGATGGAAAACTTTGTTGTCTCAGGAGCTTTCCTTCAGAAACATCCAAAAATAATATTAGGAACCCCATTTTGCCATGAGTGTAGTGTAGTGTTCAAAGGACTTTGTGTGTGCAATAGTACTGTTGTCCATTTGTAGAACAAAGACTGTTGATGTGCTTCCTACACACTAGTTTTTGTTATGGTGGTGGTTATTTTTGGGTGAGGGGACTTGGTGCTGCTCGATGGGTGAATAATGTGAAAGTGTACTTCACTGAAAATATTTAGATGGCATGGGCCTTTTCACTGCAACCCTGTCATTCTTGGTTTTTGTTTTACATATTTATTTATTTTGGTGCCTCTCTGCAACTCGTGTTTCTAGAACATACCAAGTAAATCAATCTTAACCTAATGTCTCTATAGATGTATAATAATATATAAAATATACCAAATTGTCGGGATTCAGAGGTTTTGTTTGCAGGATGGTGTCACAGCCGCTTTTGGGAAGCTTGAAATGTGGTACATTTGAAATCAAAGGTACATGTTGGAATGGAATATTTACTGGGTAACATCATGATGTTATAAGTATATTTTTTCATCACTGTTTTGATCTGGTCATGAGATTGAGATATCAATGAAGGGACTTTTTGCTTCTTTCTGTTTAAGCCCTTCTGTTCATAAGTCTCCTAAACCTGGATAACACAACGTATGATCCTTCCTTTTGAACCAATGCCTCTTGTGCACTTTTGTGACTCCTGTTCAATATTGTACAATAGAACTGACAATTGTTAAAATTTAGTTTAATTACAATGCTGAGTTAGTGTCTTCTTTTACATTCGAGCGGTGGGGCCACATTTTGGCAATAGCTCCGCAGAGAGGAAGAGGGTTCCTTAATCTGAACTAAGTCACAAATCAGTATTGTGGGCTGCGTGTAGAAAACGAACTACTGTTAAAGCTTACGAGTATGCTGACATTGTGAAAGTCTTCAGGCTTTTATTTTTCCTGGATGAGAAGCACAGAGGAGGTGGAATGAACCTACAGCGCCAGAGCTGCATCCCGTCGGGGCTCAAGTACAGAAGCTCCGCCACCGCACATCTTTTCTCTGATGTTGATTTACATAACACTAAATATAGCTGTAATCCAAGAAAAACAAGTGGGATTTAATCAGTCTGTGACACGTATCAATTTCTGAGATCAAAAAAACAAACAAACCCATCTTGTTTAAGGGATGAAAAACTCCCTCATCCTCATAGTAGTGAGGAAATAACTGCAGGGGTGGACCAGTGGACGTGTTGCCTTGGCAACTTAATCCCACTCGTTCCTGTTTTTTTGTTGTAAATAACGGTGTGAGTGATTGACAATGAGAAATATAGATCAGTGTAACCTTCCAACACAAGAGTTGGTCATCTTTTACAGCCAATGGGACTCTTTGGTTGTTGATCGGAGTCTTTTTCATGTTCAGAGATCAGCTTGTTGGCAAAGGTAATATTAATCAATATGCAGACTCTATCAATATTCATCAATATGCCGACATAAACAAGATATTTCTATATAGTTATTCTCAATACCTGCCAACAGGTCGGATTCAGTTGGATTCCCCTTGAAATCAATGAAACGAGGCGATAGAAACACTCCAGCAGGGGCCGCCAGAATCAACACAAAATGAAAGCTCCTGGTAGAGGCTTTAATTCACAGTAATATAAAACTGAAAAAAGCAGCAAATGTTCACAATTGAATTAATGAAATTGTTGCCGACTCATTTGGAGAGCATCTTCTGGTTCCAGCCTCTTCAGTCTGAGAGGCTTCTCTTTCATACCGTTAACTGAGTGTCAATCAACAACAATCACTTTAATTACTGATTGACAGAAGAATGAATCAACCTGCCCTAACCCTAATTATTTTGAGGATCGACCATTTGATGATTAATCCTTTTGAGTCACTTTTCAAGCAAAGATGGCAAACATTGTCTGTTTCAGGTTTCTCAAATGTGAAGATGTCTTATTTGAATATCTTTGGATTGTTAGTTGAACAAATAAAGCAATGTGAAGACATCACTTTGTGCTCTGGGAAATTCTAATCAGCATTTTCCACCATGTTATAATATTTTATGGAAAAGCTCCATAAAAAATCTGGATCGTTTCACTTTTAGGCCTCTTCCTCCAACAGGGAACTGGCTCTGTTCGGGTTCAAGCACATAGTTTTTAACTGTTCTGAGCGTTTCGACCAAAACTAAATTGGTTCGTAACCTGAAAAGTTGGTTCCCAGCTGGAACAAAAAACTAGGAGCTTTTTTATCTATCGACTATCAAAACTGGAAACAGGGCTGGTTTTTGCTAGATACTAGAAACTAATAACATTCCCAGTAGCTTCAGCTTAGTGAGCTAACATGCTAAACCGTGATAGTAAACATAATACCTGCTCAACAGCAGCATTAACATTATCATGGTGAGCATGCTGACTATCGCTTAGCTTAAAGCACCACTTATAACCTCACAGAGCTGCTAGCGTGGTTGTACACTTTAAGTCTTATTTAACTATTTTTGGGCCTTTTTGTTGCCTTTATTGTTCTTCGACTCTTTTTTTTGTCTCACTGTGGGCTTTGGATCTTGTCACTTTCAGACTTTTATAGACTAAATTATGAATGAATTAAATGAAAAATGCCTTATTAGAATTATCAAACCGATTACAATAGCAGAGATGCAGCAAAAGCAGCATTTCTCTCTCTGTCCCCCCATCGCTGTCTCTTTAACTCTCTCAGCAAGGCTCATTGTGTGACTGGTGATGAGTGGGCGAGTTGGTGAAACATCATTAAGAGACTATGCTGCTCAGAGAGAGAGAGAGGGCCACAACCACTGAGACTTCCTGTTGCCATAGTAACGGGCTGCGGAATTTCACGTTGATCGGCGGGTTCGTCTAAATACCCGCCATGTGTGTGTCTTCCCCAAGGTGTATGACCCCGTCTTCCACCTGAATCACTCGGATGAAACCAATAAATTACAAACACTCGCACACGCAGACAAACGCAGAGCGATGGCCGTCCTGCAGAACCAGATGATGCTCAAGAGCAGCCATAACTACCTCTGCTAGCGGCTGCTCTCTAAGCACACAGAGCTGAATAAACTCAATCACAACTGGCTGGGGATGTCTGAGCTGTCACTGCAGGAGAGATATGTGAGAGCGACTGCTGCCAGGATGGATATTACAATATGACTCATCATCATGTGGGCTACAAATCCACCAAAAGCACGCTCACCGGGGTGGGGGGGTGGGGGGGGGTGTTCACCGGCACACGTTGATAACACCTCTTTAGATGATGTGACTCATTTAAAAGGTTTCATCATGGCCCAGGTACAGCTAACCTGTGGAGATGAGGGGAACAGCGTGAGCAATCCATCTCACACCAGCAGATTTTGAATGAAAATGAAATTGCCAACAATCCATTTATAATCAATCTTGTCGACTTTTATTATTGAAACAGCAGTTTCAGACATCATCAGCTCGTCTGTAATGCACTGGAATAAGTTGCATATCTTTAAACTCTTCTGCTAACCATTTAATGCTGTGTGCCATACGGTATTTTATTTTTTGTAGATAATACATTATTGTCTTTTTTTTGGAAGGTTCAGGTAAGTTAAGTGCTCTGTGTCACAGGTTCAAAGGTCAGAAGTAACAAGGTTTTGCCCCTAAACATCAACAATAACCTGTCAGAAAGCTTCTCTGACGATTCAGCTACTGTTAGAGACAGAACTGTGTACATGAATGAGTAATTCAATAATTAAAAGGAAGTATTGGTTAATAAAAACAACTCTAGCATTCTTTGTCACTTCATTGGTTATGGCATTCAAAGTAGAAGAAATAACATTTTATGTATAAATTGCACCTAAATTAAGCCTAACACATTCACCCATTTCTGACACAAAAAGACTAACAGGGACAGGACAGTGCATCAAACAGCCTGTAACACAAACAATGACGTAGACCTCAAACATGTAGGCTGTAAATAATTAACACTGCTGCACCTCAGGGACATAACTCTTGCTTTGTTTAGTAATAAAATGCAAAAACAAAACTACAAAACTACAGTAGCCCTTTGTTGGGGTAAAGTCAAGTTAAAGAAAACAAGTGCTCAGATTTAAATTACATTCAAAAAGATAATATGTCAGCAGAGTTTACACTCAGCAGTGTGCGGAAATAAGCATGTTGTGTAGTGTCGTCGTGTCTGCCTGCAGCACAGGCTTCCCCTGCTGTGTGACAGTCTTACAAAAGGCCTTCAGATGCCGAGTTGGGAGAAATTCAATCATTTACACACTGTACTACAGTACTACTGGTTGGCTTTTCTTCTTAATGAGTGCTGAAGCAAACCCACTGATTTAAAAAGGAGACTAAATCCTGATTCTACCACTTGGATTTGAGCAGTTTTGCATGTATTACATCTCAGGGCTACTTGACAAATATGATTTCTGTTTGACAACTTCAACAAACTGCAATGTTTAAATCATTCCTATCAAAGAAGAAGCTTTTTTGGTGAACATTTGGCCGCAACATAGGCTGTAGCTCAGAACCGGAAAACAAAAGCAGTAATGCAAGAGAACAGCTTAATTGGTATATGTGTGCGTGCGTGCTCTCAGCTGTCCCAGTCTGTACTCTGTGTCTCGTCGTCTCCTCTGTCCTCCTCATCAGAGTCGGCCGATACCTTCTTCATCCTCATCATGGCAGCTTTGATGCTTCGCTCCAGCTCGTTGTCTCCACTGTTCAGATCGTCTGCGCGTACAGGAACCATCTAGAGCACGAGAGTCAATTTAATACCTGCTTTTCATTTAAATTCGGATTTGATGGGGGAAAAAAATCCTTTTTTCTCACAGCAGACATTTTGACATGTCACCTAAAGGGTTTACAGCCATTGTTAAAGTTATTACTTATTACATGCTAAGGGTCATTCATCACAATGTCTGTTATGAAAAAGCCACACCTGATCCTAGACACAAACTGTACAAACAAATGCAAGATATTTAAATGAAACTTTGTACAGACTAAAAGAAAATACGGTACACACACAGATGAACTTCAGCTGGTTATAATGGACAAGTACATTTTCTAACATCTGTTATTCAGTTCTGCTCCTTTTAAGATGCCAATAAACTTAGTCTAAATGACTGAAAACACCAGGGGACATTTGCCTCATTTGTCTTTCAAGCTGCCTTCAGTTATTCCCATTTCCCTAAAAATCATTACGAGATGTCGCACTTGGTTAATGTATTCACATTAACCATGGATGGTAAAATTAAACTCTATAGGACTGCTGATAATTAACTAATCCCATGAAAAGACCAAAACAATGCGGTCGCCCGGCCTCTGTGTGACACCAAACATCAAGCCTGTTGGCTCCCGCTGAGGATGGAAATCTTTAAAACCAGGTCACAAATATATTTGTTCATATTTTAATCAATTTCCTAAAACAGCTGTTCAAGTATAGTTTAAGCAAATGTTACTAAAACAGGTCAAATAAATAAATTGTGCATTTATTGGGAACTATTTTCAGATATGACATTTGGTGCTTTAGTGAGTATTTACAGCAGCAGGATGGTGTATGTGACACAAAATGAAGTGCAGAGGCTACAGCAGTGCACTTCATTTTGTCCATTGATGTGTTTTCAATAGTTTTTTACAAACATCAGGCTCTGGCTTTTTGACCATAAGAAAAACATAGAATATAAAATAGAATATCACCAGACAGTGTAGTGAAGCCTATACTGATATTGATATTAAAATAAACACATAAACTTGTAATCTTGATACGGATCCCTTAAATGATACCTACCGAGCAGGACATTTTATAGTTAAGAAATCAACTTGCTCTCGGGGGGACAAACTTAATTCGAAATTACCCAGTTTGGCATTTATGCACTGTCCTTATTTTTCCTTTTTATTTTTTGCATTTCGGCTTTGGTGTGTTCTTATTTCTTGTAGAACCTCTCACCTTCTTCAGGGTGACTCCCTGTCGGATGGCAGACATCAGATTGCTCCTCGGGTCCACAGCAGGGGGCGCTGTCCTGGGAGCGGGCGCCTTTCGAAGCTGAATCTGTCCACGCTGCAACGAGGCCAACACTTCATCCATCGTTCCTACAGTTACACAGCAATAAAGGCAAACACACACTTTTACAATGGTGGAAGAATGATTGGAAGGATGCATTGACGGTAATTTTGCAGTTGTGAGTTTTAATTTCACGCCTGATGAAGTATCTAAAACATTTCACTACAAAACTGACTGCACAGTTTTTCCCAGGTTGTCTGTGGTGCATTATCTCAAATTCATTTTTAAAATCAGCTTCTTCTTGAGTGACCCCCATCTTAGAAAAGCTCAGGAAAATGAAGCCGTGTTGGACGCTTCTGTCTCTCCGGAGCGGAGAGTGTGCATCAGCAGGACCACAACTGAGGTAAAATGCCTCCTCTGGCCTCATGGGGGAATTTGGGAATTTAGGACAGAACGCCATGTACAGACGCACACAGGCGCGCGCACACACACAGACACACACAGACACACACAGACACACACACACAGACACACACAGACACACACCAACACTACAAGCACACTTTACTCTGGAACAAACAAACACAACTTTCCCTGCAGTCAGACATAGTCAACTGCATCTGTATTGAAAATTTCTGATAAATGGACACCAAAAAACAGACACATTAAAAACATAATTATACTGTATGTATTTCATTCTCACCAATATTTTGTTTGAGCATGTTCTTGGCTGGAAAAGGAGGGTCCTTGTTTTCACTGAGAGGCATTGGTGTGTCTTCAGAGGAAGGCGAAGCTTGGATAGGTGGAGGTGGTAAGGCAGGAGGCAGTGGTGGTGGTGGTGGAGGTGGAGGTGGTGGTGGAGGAGGAGGAGGTGCAGTAGGGCAGGTTGTTGCTGGAGGTGGCGGTGCAGAATAGATTTGGACAGGGATGTCTTTAGGCTGCTGTTTCTTGGTTGTTTTTTTGCGTCTGGGTGCAGGATGGACAGACGAGGGTCCTTCAGAGGCAAGAGAGGGGCCGAAGCTGATTATGGACAGCGGCTGGGAGGGACACGGGACTTCTGAAGGAGACATCCTGGACTGAGGAGTCTTCACGATGTATTGGCCCTGACGCTTCTTGAAAAAGATGGTAGACAAGGGGAAAAAATATTTTGAGAAATAAGGACACAATCTAGTCTAATGTTGTAAGAGAAACAACACAGACAGACAGACAGACAGACAGACAGACAGACAGACACACACACACACCAACAACAGTCTAATGTTCTTATTGTTCTAAACAGGTCTCAAAGTGACTTGAGATTAAACTGAAATGACAGGGAAATGTGCATGCAATCCACCAAATAGTTTTGAGATATTTCAGTCTGGACCGAAGTGGTGGAGCGACTGACCAACTTCCCCAGAGCCTTGCTGCTAGCACGGCTAAAATGAACCATTTTAGGACACACAATATAATAAAGTTGCTCTCCTCTTAAAGATTTATTGTTCTTTTTGTTCCTACAGTTGGATGTTTGAGCTTCACTGTGTAGAATGTGCAGAGTTTGAAGGATATTTTCACAAAGTTTGAGCTCATTGAAAATCAGATTTCTAAGGGGCGGGGCCTACAAGCATGATTTGTGACATCACAAATCGTTTGGAAGTCAAACTTGGTCCAGTGTACAACTTATACCAGTGTGATGTAGAAACATGTAGCCTCCAGTACACAAACACTGAGAATGGACTTGTGAAGTAGGAGACATCTTGTGTCCAGTAGGAAAACTTTAGAAATGATCCAAATATTCACAAACTCTGAATTTTTTTGATTATTGTATATTATTCTCTAAGTAGGAACTAGTTTGTGTGGTGCAACTCATCTCACTCAAGATGGTTAAATCTCCAAACAAGTAAACACTTTCATTGTAATTAGGCAATGTGTGAACAGCTGCTGCAACCGGCTCCTAGAGCTTTCAAATCGTATCACATGATTTCCCTCAGCAGATCATGACGATGTCAACTGCTGCTTCCAGGGTCATGAATGGACTTTCAATCTCACATTTTAAGACAACATGAACGAGAAGTAGAACAGTTGAGGTGATTTAGAAACCGTGTCAACATCACAAAGCATTTTCAGCTGACTCCACTGTTTACAACACACAAGTTGGCAGAGAAGCAGACTCAAATTGAGCAGATGGAAATGTGGAGTCTGTTATGAACAATAAATGTATTGTTCAACAAAGTATTCTGCCACCAGAACCTCTTTGTCACAAGTGTTTAAAAAGGTCCAGTGTGTAGGATTTAGTGGCATACAGCCGTGTAGTTGCAGATCGCAACCCTTGCTTCACACTCCCCTTCCAAGCACGAAAGAGAAACTACTGTGGACGCCCCTAATGCCGGTTTTTGGTTTGTCACTTCTGGGCTACTAAGAAAACCCAGCGGACTCCAAGGAAGGCAACCTATGGCATGTGTAAATATAAAAGGCTCATTCTAAGGTAACAAAAATGATTCCCTTATTCAGGTGACTATACACTAATCAACCCAAGTCACATTGCTGCCAATAGATCCTCATAAATGTTACAAGCTGGACCTTTAAGATCTAAATTTGAGGGATCTTTATAAAAAAAAACTTTGTTTAATATCAACAGAGAGTCCAAATAGCTTGTACACCAAACCACATCAGTTCTGTTCCCCAACAAAGGTCTACAATTTACTACTCCCTTATTTTTCTCACTTTCCTCTCTGGCAAAGCTCTTGTCATCCGTGCACCATTAGCTGTGGTATAAGACAGCTCACTACAACAAAGCATGTCCACAACCACAGCACTTGGTCATCAGAACTTCCTCTGACGTGGGGGTTGAGTAGCTAATAACTGAATTTTAATTTTCAGGTGACCTGTTGAATTGAGCGGATATGAAGCAGGAGCGTCTGGGGCGGTTTTATTAACAGATGAGAAGCTGCATGGAGAGGCGGCACAGAGACAATGAGAGAGCCTGACCTCTCTGAAGGATCGTAATCTGCTCAGAGTCTTCTCTCGCTCCTGGTCCACCCACTCTTTCCTCCTCTGCTCCTCCTCTTTCCTCTTCTCTCGTTTCTGCAGACAACAGAGGGAGACAGTGAGAGGCATTAGAGAGAGAGAGAGACAATTTGATTCAGTTTCGTTAGCGGCTTCTGCCGGTGCGGGAGTGTCTCTGTGGGTTGTCTCGTTGCCGTGATGACGTACCAAGTGGATCTGATGATGCTGGCTGAAGAGTACAGCACTCTGCTTGGCTGGCTGCTGCTTCTGCTCATTGGCCTCCATGCACTGATCCTAAAAATACACATAAACATTAATACTTGTATACCCAAATATACATACAACTGCAGATTGACATGTACACACATGAGTCTTAGCCAAATGTGTTCTTCAAAGTTCAGAAAATGCCAGTGAAACTGATAATGAGGGGCAAATAACACCTCAGTTAATTAGAAAGAGAACTTTTTTTAATTTCACTATGTTCCTCTTTTTTACTGCATTGTTAAATACTTGTGCATGTGATTCCCTGTAGATTACTGTAGGTGATTCATGGGAGCCTCTAACCAAGGGATTATTCTCACTTTGTTCTGACCAATAAAATTTTTAATCAGACAAATGAGCATGGTGCCAGCAATAGGAGAAAATAATGCCAACTGCACCAACTGTGCTTAAATTACTAAAGCTAAAAATAAAACAAAATAGTAAAAACTATTTTAAAAAACTCTGCACTTGGGGATGTGAAGGGGATAGTGAGGAAAATGGCACCATCTTCTTTCATTAACATTTCTAACTATTTAAATCTGCTATTCACAGATCAATACGTTTGCCCTCGAAAAGGACCAAAATGCCACTAAAGATTAAAGATCTCGAGGATAGACAAGAAACGGGGGAAGAGACAGAGGTGGGACAACGTGCAGCAAAGGGCCACGGGTTGGAATCAAACTCTGAGCTCTAAGCTACCGTGTGCCCATAATGATGAGTTTTGATGGGGCAGAGAATATATTATAAATAAATGAATGTCGATGGTACTCGCCCACACCTTTTTGTTGCGGAGATAAGCTCGCCGGGCACAGATGTTGCCTCTTTTGGTCTCCAAGGTCTGTAGGCGTCTTTTGAGCTGACTGACAGCTGGAGAGTCTGCTTGTTGAATACCTGTGTGGAACAAGCTCTGCAGCTCCTCTGGATCCTCACACACATCATAGTACACCACCTCTTCCTTCAGCTCTAAAACACAAATGCAGTCCAATCACTCAAACGCCCCATTACCTGATTAAAAGGTGCTCTTTCAACTCGTACAGTTGTAGTTCTTAAATTATCCGTTGAGCTTAGATTCTATTTTCAACAGAGAATGAATATTACAACTCTGTTGTGACTGCACTGTCTCCAAGATGTAAACCTGTTCTAAATATGTAAACTATGTAAACCTTTTTACACTTGTGTGCCAGACAAACAAGCCAAGGAGGTGCAGCATCACAACATTATTAGTTCACACAAAGAAGAGCAGACTGTGTCCCGGTCTCACCCTGATGTCAACCATTATGTCGTGCAGGTTACACTGTACGTGCACTATTGTTGAATTATTTCCTATTTTGGTGCTTAACTTACTTCAGAAATGACATTGTTGCAGCAGTATGGTAGGTATTAAGGGAGTAATATAATCTACATGCATACAAGAAACCAGATGATTTGCATTTTATCCTGTGTCAGTGAAAAAGTGTCTCTACAACAACCAGAACTAGATTTTTAAAATAAATATTTTATATTTTTCTACAAGGACCTTAGGAAAGTCCTTGGCACTTATACGTATTTTATTTACATTATAAACTAATCTCTTTTGAAAGGCTCAATAAACTCAGTAGCCTCCTTTGATTTGCAACATCCCATATTTTATTTTTCTGTCTTACAACTTTCTTTACTGAGCAGAAACTGGTTGAGGACACCTTCCTGCTGAAACTAGCCACGGTAAGGATACACAAAGTCACAACAGACACACAGACCGGTACACACACACACACACACACACACACACACACACACACACACACACACACACACACACACACACACACACACACACACACACACACACACACACACACACACACACACACACACACACACCACTTGGAAGCAAACATCCATCGTCTCAGGAGGAGCAATTAAGGAAATATTTACTTGAACAAAATATTTCCCCAAAGAAAACCCTGTGTGCAAGACACTGAGTGACCAGAAAAACAGAAACCCCTGTACATCATAATGTAATCCAATACAGCAGTTCTGTAAGAAATATGTGAAACACGTGTCATTTTTAAAGATCCCTTCCAGACATGTGTTAAGACATAATACAAATAGTACCAACACAGTCAGCAGTTGTAGATGCGGCAGTGACTGTAACGCACTGGTCATGGAGGTAATTAGGGGACTTTAAAACCCTTAGTGCCTGATTGCCGAATCTTGAGACTTACACTTACAGAATATCATTGTCTCTGATGTCCTTTTAATTCTAGAACTTGCCTGAGAATCATCACGCTTTTAAGTTTTCTTCAGTATCAAAGTAATCCAGTGATAGTTGGGTACATTGCAGAGGGAACTTCTAATAACTGATTCAGCCTACTTTTAATGGTGTCAAATTGTCTAAATGTGAACAAATATAGGCTAAAAAACAGGTCTGGCTTAAGTGACCTGATCATTCAGGCAAGCTAGCATTTATTGCTGGGCTTTCATACTGCAAAGAAAAAAATGACTTTGTTCAAGAGTTTCTATTTTTGTAGCCACTCACTGTATTACTGCATCAATTTAAATACAGTGCTCGTGCTGTATGGTAATTTGTGTGAGGACCTTTAGATTCAAATTACTGTTCCACAGTGTGAGGCAACCTCGAACCTTTTGACTCTGCTTCGCTATTTTGTCGATGAAGCTTCTGGTACTACTTTTCTTAGCAACGAAGTATTAAATACAGAGTGCTTCATACAGCTTTAAATCAATGTCACTTGAGTGTTTTATGGTGGACAGGGCTGTTTTTCACAATAATTCAATTTTGCTCGAAATGTTGTACGTTTAAAACATCTTCTCTCTCTAAAAATTAAAAGTAGCCTCCACATCTACTGTTCTTCACAGTGCTACTTGTCATTTGTGGTCTACCTTTAATCTGCCGTCGCACGGTGTCTAACTGAGCCACCAGCAGCTGCTCCTCATTCTTCAGGATCTCAAACTTTGTGTCATACAGTTCTAGTTGGATTTCGTAGAACTGCAGCTCAAGCTGGTCCACTGTGTCCTGCTGCTGGCCGTCCTCAGAAGCAGACCTCAGATCAGTTCTGTGGCTCTTGACTCTGCCAGACAAGCTGCCCAACTACAAAACAACAAAACAATGTCAAGTAAAAGATCATACCTGTGGCTTTGTATATTACAGCCTAATAAGTACACACTGTGCATTCTTACTGCTGACCATCTTCTAAAGCATACCACATTACCACGTTTTTACTGATTCATTACATCTTTCATTACAGTATGCAAATGACCTTAACTTGCTGAGGCTTTGTACACTAAAGAGGCAGCTGGAAGCATGGAGTATGTTTTCAATAACTCTTTTTGTTGTGTTTACCTATTTACTCAAGTTTTAATCTTTAATCTTTTTTTTTTTATTTAATTATTATGTTGTGATGAAATGAGCTGAAACCTCTAGCTACCTGCAAGGTAGGACAGCAGTGTTACGCATTATAGATAACATACAGCTAATGCCAAACATACATATGCACACAATCACTAAATATAAAGGCGTCATGCTGTGACATCTGCAGGAACACCGTTGTATTCAAAAAGAGCCACCGAGTTATGTTGCCACCAGAGCAAGATTTTGCGTAGGTGTAGCTTACTGATCTCATTATAAACACTTGCACACAGCTGTCTCTGTAAAGGCTCACGTTGATTTCACAGTGGAAGATACTGCCAGCATCCTGATACCTGATTTTTAAAGAGCTTAATCGGATGAATAATGCAGCCACATGAGGGTGAAGGTGCTGAAGGAGTTGTCTTCCAAAAAGCTCAAAAGCTCAAAAGCACAGCACGACACCCTACAGCAGCAAGTTAGTCGCTGCGGTTTCCCCCAAAACACTGTGATCCTGACATTAGAAATACAGCACCCCCCGGATATGCATATAGCTGGCACGTTTTGAGTATGTATATACACACAGACGCACTCACTTATTCACACATACAGGTTTTAGGGGTGTATCGAGGGGATTCTGTGTTTTTAGGGAGGCTTTATAAATAGATCAAAGGACTACAGCAGCCAGAGATTCACATCAGACTGGAATACCAAGTGAAAGATAAAATAGAGCAAGTAGGCACTGTGTCACATCTCTACAGACTTACAACCACTACAAAAGCCGTGTTGGTCTTGACACTGGAAATGAAGATCTGAATGACTGAACTAAAGCCTTACAACTGTGTCAGAGTCTTATATTATGGAATGTGCCGACTAATTACAGAAACACTATGTTAATAAAAAAAAAACAACAACACACACCCTTTCTCTGATGCCGTCTTTCTTGCGGTTGAGGCACATCTCTGTAGTTCTCATATGCTGCAGTGTTTCTTTGGCCAACAGGAAGCGTAGTTTCTCCAGTCTGGGAGCTGCAGACGCCCAGGCAGCAGCTCCGAAACGACGCTTGTCTTCTTCCATCTGCTTTAACATACCTGAACATGCACACAAGGGTCACGCTATGTCTGCGTTTACACAAAGCACATATATATTAACATGGGCACAAAATACAATAACAAGTATCAGAGGAAAAATAGACAAACACACACTTTGTCAGCGTGGCTGTCTTGCATCCTGCTGTAAATGTTTGACTAAATTTCCTCAGTCTCCAGCGTCTTTTATAAATGTTAACATGATTTTCCCCATTCTAAGTGACAGTGAAAATCGTTACTGACTAACCTTAAATATATGCTATGTTATAATGTATGGAATAAAGCGGTTAATGATGTGATGAAATCTAAAGCATAAACCAATGCTTTCTATTTCATTAATTAATAACAATACCATCTAAAACAACATGCAGGCTAAGATACAAATGTATATTAAATTGTAATGCGCATAATGGAACTTTACAAAGACATACATAGACTCTTCCAATTAGTTTTGATATCGACATCATATATTGCATGATGATATACAGCATGATGTTTATCCTACAGCACAATTATCTGGTAAATAAGATTTTTTTGTCTGTAATTATTTAAAGTGTTTGTTAACACTTCTATTTCCTTTTAGATTAATATGACAATATGTATTTTTTTGTGGAATTTTGATGATTTGAATATTAGATTAAATATTTAATCAATATATTGTTTGTCTGTAGTTGCAATGCCGTTTTTGACTCTACTACGCTTCATATCCTGCGTGCGGAGGAATGGCACATATTCATTAATTCATCCATACACAAATAAGATAAATAAACATAGCATCTTATACCAGCAAGAGCCTTTGAAGTCTGTGCAAAGTAGGTGACAGTGATGTCCTGAATTGAGGCGACTGCGTCTTCTGCTTTCGTCCTCCACTCCTCCGCCTCCTTCTCCAGAGCTGTAATTCTCTTAGGACCCAAGTCCTCAAACTCCAAAGACTTCTGTGGAGAACCATGGTAAGCAAAATAGTGGACAGCTTTAATGCAGACTTCTTACCAATACTTAACCCACATACATACAAATGAGAACTTTAGTCAAAGTTAGTTTGGTGAGAAAATAAACCACTAATCAATCACTCCTGTGTCTAGACCATGATGGAGAGATGAAACAGGCTCAGCAGTTACAAATGAAACCACTAAGACTGAAAAGGAACCTGTAGTGATCACAGAATGATATATAGTGTATACATGTGTTAGATTTTCACTAACAAGGAAGGCTACATATAAGTGGTTACACAGAGGGAAAAAACTGTGTGCATATAATTAAAAAAACTGGGGCTGTAAATGTGTATTTGTATTAAATTTGGCCAAAAGATCTGTATGCAGACATTTCCTTTGAATGAGATTCAGGATGTCGTTTACAATTTTTCTCGTATCTAAATATTCTATATAACCAGTTAGCACATCCTAAAAAAGCCAAAAGCTGCTAAATGTAAGTCTGTATTTACCAGGATCTCCATCTTATAGAGGCAGGCCAGCTCTCGCATGTCCCTGAAAGGCTGGAGCAGATACTGGAAGAAGGTGGTTGCCACAGTGACCAGGTCCTGGTAGGCCTCATCCTCCTCCTCGTAGATGCTGAGCAGCGCAACCATTCGGTCTGCACTGCCATGACTCTGCAGCAGCTGCAAACGTGGAAGACATAAACACATTTACCTTAGTCTTTGCTTTGGAGAAAAATGCATGTCACATGATACATTAAAATCAAACATACACAAACCTGTATAATATTATTCCCTGTTCTCTTTAAAGGAACAACATGAGGTTTAATAGTAAGTTATAATGCTAATTAAAAGGAGGTCCAGTGTGTAACATTTACAATATATGACCAGAAATGTAATATAATATTCATACGTATGTTTTCTTTAGTGTATAATCACCTGAATATAGGAATCTTTGTGTTTTCGTAACCTTAGAATTACACGTTTTCATCTACAGATACCATAGGTTGGCGTCCATGGAGTCTGCCATGTCTCTACAGTAGCCCAGCATTGACAAACCAAACACAAACAGGCATGGAAAGCCAGGACACCAGCTGAAATCTATCAGTAATTAGAAAGCAATCCTGCCACTTGTCAGTGCAAATTAATATCAGCTGGTTCAGTCCCAACTGATGGCCTATAAAAAGGTGTCTCATCACCAAAGTGTCACACAAGAAACATCTCATGATGGGTAAAACTAGCTCTCTCAAGACCTTCGCAACCTTATTGTTGCAAAACATACTGATGGCATTGATTACAGAAGGATTTCTAAACTTCTGAATGTTCCAGTGAGCACTGTTGGGGCCATAATCCGGAAGTGGAAAGAACATAATTGACAGAGGAGTGAAAATAATTATCAGAAGAGTTGTCCAAGAGCCAAGGACCACTTGTGGAGATCTTCAGAAAGACCTGGAATTAGCAGGTACAATTGTTTCACAGAAAACAATAAGTAATGCACTCCACCGCCATGGCCTGTATGCACACTCACCGCGCAAGACTCCATTGCTGAAGAAAAAGCATGTTGAAGCGAGTTTAAAGTTTGCTGCACAACATTTAGACAAGCCTGTGAAATACTGGGAGAATATAGTCTGGTCAGATGAGACCAAAATTCAACTCTTTGGGTGCCATAATACACAGCATGTTTGGAGGTCAAATGGCACTGCACATCACCCCAAAAACACCATACCAACAGTGAAGTTTTGAGGTGGGAACGTCATGGCGTGGGGCTGTTTTTCAGCATACGGCACTGGCAAACTTCATATAATTGAAGGAAGGATGAATGGAAAAATGTACCGAGACATTCTTGATAACAATCTGCTGCCATCTACCAGGATGATGAGGATGAAACGAGGGTGGACATTTCAGCAAGACAATGATCCCAAACACACAGCCAAGGAAACTCTCAATTGCTTTCAGAGAAAGAAAATAAAGCTGCTAGAATGGCCCGGCCAATCACCTGACTTGGATCCAATAGAAAATCTATAGAAAGACCTAAAGATCAGAGTTCATAGAAGAGGCCCACGGAAACTTCAAGATTTGTTTGTGCAGAAGAATGGGCCAAAATCACACCTGAGCAATGCATGCGACTAGTTTCTCCATACAGGAGGCGGCTTGAAGCTGTCATTACCAACAAAGGCTTTTGTACGAAGTATTAAATGAATTTCAGTAAGTGTGTTCAATACTTTTTCCCTGTGTCATTCCATTTTATTACACACAACTTTAATTTCTGAAATTATTTATCTTGGTTTCTTTGCATGTGTGGATTGCATGAGTTGTTACCGACATCTGGTGAAAATTTCATGACAATAGCACCTTTTAGAAATATATTTACTGAGGAAAAATGGTGACGTGTTCAATACATACTTTTATATGTATGTGGCATTTACGGCATCACTATTTATACACAGTATTGGATCACATTAGATATTACTGATCCTTTGCACTTATTCCAGTGTCTATTATCTCTGGGCTTTAAATGTGGAGTTGCTGGCTGCGATTATACTGCGAGGCATCTCTCTCACCGTGTTATTTACATGTGGAAAACGGAGAGTCAAGTTATAGTTCTGTGTTCAAATCACTTTAATTCAAATGCATGTCGAAAGGGCAGGCAAAAAACTCACTGGCTGAACAGTCAAATCAGTGCTGGTGGTGTTGCAACACAGAGAAGTTTTGCTGTGTCATAATAGGCCTGCCCTCAGTCTTGTACGACCACTGTGTTTTGATAGTCATGTAGGATATTTTATCTTCTTTTCAGGGCATTTAAGACAGCTTCTAAGACTGTAAGCCTGGCTGTGGTTGTTGTAGTCGACTGCATTGATTTTTTTTTTTTTTAGCTTGATGTGACCCTTGTTCACACTGGTCATTTTGGCCTAAAATTGTGTTACCAATAACAAATGTAATGCAGGTTCACTGGAGGCTCTGCTACACTAAATGGAATGTGGCCTTTATTAGTATCACACCTGTGTTTACCTGACTGGTTGTAGACTGGCAGTGTGTGTATAGCCCTTGATATGAGCATATGTGGCTCATTTGCACACACACACACACACACACACACACACACCCACCCCTCTCCTCACCTGTCGCAGGTGACCCTTGGCCCTGGACATCTCCTCCTGCATCGTCTTCCTTTTGAACTCCTGTAGATTTTCAAAGTACTCCTCGACGTCCCGCTCATCCTGGGTGAATAACGTATCGAGGACAATCTTTCGTCCGCAGACATCGATGGCGGTGCTGAAATATTTCTCCAGTCTCCTGCACGGTGTGTCAAAATCCCTCTCCTCGTCGTCGTCGGTACCGGACCGCCGATTCAGGAAGAGCAAGTCCCAAATGTTGCCGTCTTCGAACTCGGACAAATCCGGGAAGCAGGCCGCCAAGACGTCCGACACGCATGTGAAGTGTTGATGGATGTGTTTCAGATCGTTAACGGAGAAGAGACCGGCCCAGCTCATCTCCGGGTCGCCGACGACGGTAACTTCGGCTTTGCGTTTCTGCCGTTGTAACGTCCGGTTGTGGCAGGTGACGGCGAACTTACACTCGATGACGTTCCACTGTACGATGAAGCCCAACTTAAACGTCTCGGTTTCTTCGAATAAGTTGCTTTTGACGGCCACCCAGCCCTCCAGACTGTCCAGCCGCTCGCACTCCACGTTATTCATCTTAAAAACAGACGTTTCTCTTCGGCGTCCGAGGAGCTGCTGGCTCTGTTTACAACGTCCGCCATTTGCGTGACGTAGGATGCCTTCAAGCGTCTTAAAAAAAAAACACGGGAAACTGAACGTTCACGGGTTGACGAAGCGATTAAGACGTTGTTATCATATTTTCTTTAAGTTTAATGTCGAGATAGAGGTTACCATGGGGATTATTCTAATTATTTAGCTAAAATATTAGGTATAACACCACTTCTGTTAGTGAAAGCAGGCAATTTCTCCGTAGTAATCTTCCTGTGAGTGTACAGGAGGTCAGCATTGCTTGATATCTACGTCAAGGTAACAGTCACAAAAAAAGTGCCAGTCACACTTTCGATCATCAAAGTACTGAAAGAGCCGACGAGGTAATAATTCAGATTTCTGATTAGAAAACGTTGGAATGACGGCTTTTCCTGAGTTTACTAGGAGCCCTGAAGGCACCACAATGTCTGTGGTATTCTGTTCAACTTTGACCTTTAAATCACATGTTCGGGGATTTCCACCTCCTAATATTAGGGCTAAGAACAATAATGGAGCTGAAACTGGCACTAATTACACATTGTTTACAGTATTAACGAAACTCAGGCCTCTAAGTAGTCTAAAGTGTGTAGTTTTATTCAGTAATTTAACTTTAACTAAGCATGGATGTTTGACAGGCCTGTGACATTTGAGCTGTCTGAGTCCCCACAACCTATTTTTGTCACAGTATCTGGGTGAGGGTGGGACTGCTCACAGAGTTGGCTTGTCGGACACCATTGCTGGGCTGAAATGGTTGTTTAGACTGACTGGTTTACTGATTTATCCAGGTAAATTTACCATCAGCTGCTCATTCACTATCAGTAATTTAATTGACAGATTGTTCTGCACATGTTGGCTGGTTAAAGTATCAGCTATGTAGTTTTGAGATCTAATATTGTGTTCATTCTTTTAAATTATTGTCTCATGCAGGATTTTTAGACTTATTCTAGGTGGTTGTTGATCTATAGACTGATGTAGAGCCAAAAGGGCTGACTTAAATTGATCTTGTACCAGAATCATAAATGAATAGTCAACCTCTGTCCTCCCACAGTCAATCTCCTCATGGACCTGTACGATATCAGAGGAGGCAGACTGGATGTGATTGCAGAGGAGGCTGAGCACCAGGAGTTAAGCAGAGAGTCGACCACTATGGAGCCCTACAATGTCGTAACAGACAGAGGAGGGAGGGCGACCAGAGATGTTTCAACCTTCCAGAGGTTCTCCGTCGACACCAATGAGTCCCTTCGTTTTGAGCCCTGCGAGGACAGCTCTCCGTCTCCCACTGGGGCAGAAGATGGACTTGATGACGATGAAGTGTTTAAGGAGGGAGAAACAGAGGTGGGGACACTAACACAGCTTTGGCCCTTGATGTAAGAGTGAAATATTTCAAGGATTCAAGGTTATTTTATTGTCATTTATCAATGCAAGGTTGTAGAATTGTATTCTTATATAGTTCCCTTCATGCTTCTATTAAAAACAAAATAAATATGCACCAATGACTACACATAATTACTCATTACTCATTTGTATGATTAATTGTTGTGATATTTGATATTTCCTTACTTTATTTGACCTCTGTTCAAACATGGTGAGATTTAAATAACTTTTTCTTGGTGGAAATTGTACCATAAACACAGAATCAGCACCCCTAGAAATGTAGAAATTAGTGGAAAAAACACAAAAATTCTTGACAACTATTCATTAAAACATCCACGTGTACATGAATTTCCCAAACAATGGCCATTACATTACTCTTAAGGAGTGTGGACTGACATTTATAATTTCAGATTTCTTTGTAGTCGATTCCCAGAAGATGGAGCTGTCCACATAAAAGTTTGAAAGCCACAGATGTGACCAGAAAGTCCTCACAGCACAGGCTAAGAACAGTTTGTTACTGGTTTGAATTAAAAAAAAAAAAAAAAAAGAGGGTAAAAGTATGACTTTCAATTGTTTTCAGAGTGAGACTGTCACAATCAGGAATCGTTTGCAAGGGAAGATTGCTGAGATGGAGAGCTTTGCGGGTCATCTGGAGGAAATCTTTCTCACTGTGGAGGTAAATGTCACACTCAAAAGACTGAAACAGATTGTTGGAATGTGCTTTGACATTGATTCATTATTTTGTTTTCATTTGGGAATGTTTCTTGTTATTATTTGTTTTATTGGATTCAAAGACAGAAATAAAGTTCAAGATGTCAGATTTCAGTCCATGTGTGTCCCCTGGAGGGCCTGAAGTCAACACATCCCTTTCATTCTTTGCCTCCCTTGACCTGTTATCCTCTCATGTTTCCTTTCTTTACATATTTTGTTTTTAATGCTTAACAATTGTCTTAATCTCTAACTGTGCCACTGGCATCCTATTAATGTATATACAGGAGAATTTTGGCCGTCAGGAGCAGCACTTGGAGCAGCACTACAATGATGTGCTGCAGACGTTGTCTCAGCGATATGACGAGAGAGCAGCGGGGCTGGAGGAGGAGAAGAAGGGCAAGCTGGAAGCGCTGTACAATCAGCTGCTGGCTTGCGGTCAAGCAATGGATGCCTCCAAGGAGCTCATTGAGACGGCCCAGGAGGTTTACCGCAGCCAAGACAAGAGGCTTTTCCTGAAGGTGTGTTTTCTTCATTTGGATGTGCAGATGACAGTTGTATATGATGATGATAAATAGAAGAAATCGAAAAATAGAATGAAAAATGGGTAAGTAATATTGATTAGTGTTTCTGCATTTATGTACTTTTTTGTTCACTCTCTTTCTTTGACCTTTACTGACAGACCGTTATGCCCACCATTAAAAGGTAATTACACCGCTGCTCAGTGAGTACTGTATGCCACATAATGTGACTGCACTGGCGGTGATTGCAGTGTGATTTCAAAAGACTAACCATTAATGGCACAGGGCTAATGTTGTGTTTCCAGGTTTGCCTGTAGTTTCAGACTAATATTACATAAGCAGACAAATATTTAGTGTGAATATAAATCCTTGGCCTTGGAAAAAGTGGTCTGACATAAAAATCCTTACTCAAGGTACACTTACTAGCTTTTTGCAGAGCATTTAGATTGCTCAGTCAAATCAGTCAAAATACTCCAGGAAAAGCTAATAAGTGGACCTGAGTGATCCAAATGAATAGCATGACACAAGCTGCTTTACGTTAATGTTGAACCTTAATATATGAATTTTTTTACAATAGAATCAAGGAGTTCGCCAAAGAGGAGATTGACCTTACGTTGGCCACATGTCTTGAGTTTAACACACCGCTTGCTGACCTGTCCGATGTCAAAACCATGATGGACTCCATCAACGTTGTTCCAGGTCTGACTTACAATCCGCTCATCTGACACAGACATCGGTCAATAACTGTGTCTGTGCAGTACACAGACGAAGGTTAATATCTGCACAGTTGCCTTTGACACATTGTGCTCTTAGACTGTCTGTAATTACAGCGTAGAGGAGTCTGTGGTGTGGTGGTTGCCTTTAGACAATTACCTAGCAATTTACTAGTTTTATGTTTTCATACACAAGGCCAGTGTGTCAATAGTCTTTCATTGAGAGAACAAGCATACGTAACTGTTACCACCAGTGGGGCCTGGAGAAGTGGGTAAACTCTTAATTTATGCCTTTTTATTTTTTAAAGCAGCCTGTCCAGCTAGGACAGGATAAAGCTGAACAGGATAAACACCCTGTGTTATAAACAGTGAAATGTAAAACTACTCTAGCATATTTACTGCTAGTATTTGCACACTGTTTCACTTCTGCTGCTAGACTTCAGGCAGTAAGGATCATTACGAAATGAACAACAGCAACAGAAGAGGTGCAGATATTGTAATCAATACTGGCCCACAGAATATAGGATGAGACAATTACATAATTAGGCATTTTGAGTACTCCACTACTAATTGATGCACATCAGAGGGGATTTGAAGTCGGTATACCCAATGCTGACTGAGAAATAAGTGGTTATGCTCCATATACTCTGCACTACACCACAAAGCCCACCTTGCTTTCAGGACAGAATCAATTAGCCACAGAATAATCAATACTAGCCCACAGACGGAGTGAGACAACCACATAATTATCCATTTTGAGTGAAGTATTCCTTAGTCTTTACTTACTTACTTTTACTTACTTTTCCACTCGTGAAAGTTGGACAGCTGACTGAAAAATAAGTGGCGTACCCTGTACTACACCACTGGTTACCACCCATTTGATGATTTAAAAACAAGTTCAATAATGAGAATCCATTTGGAAGTTCATCTAGTGAGGTTAGCAACAGAGAAACTATTACTATTATTAGGTGATTAGACCCCATCAATTTGAAGCATCATCATCAAGCATAAGCCCACATGAAGATCTGAGATAGGACAGGATCCCCCAGAGTCTAGATACTGGTGGTGCAGACAGCAGGTGGATGATTAAAACTATCAGTTGAATCTCCCTGAACATCCTGGAGGTAATAAAATTACACGATTATAATGATATTCAAAGAACAGCATCTAAGGATCAATTTGACCTGAGGAACACAGACAGAAGATCATTGCTCAGATAAGGTGAAATCATAATTACAAATGTAGGGACGCAGAAAGGACGGGAAGAAGAAAGGAATAAAGGCAAATTTGACAGGCATATTTGCATACTTGATTCTGGTCTCGTCCTGTTTGTGTGTGTGGTTTAGGAGGGAAAGAATATTTAGTATTTTGTCTGTTCTAGTTTAAGCTTAACACTGTCTGTCATAAGTCATCGCTTTTATGTAAATCTGCTCCTTTGCTATCTCAGCGCTTTTAATGGTATGACTTTATGTTAAAAAAATTTAAAAAACACAGGTCAATAATATTTTTCCAATATAAAAACAGCTCCATCTGCCCCAGTAATCAACCCCCAGATGCCCAACTCTGCCACTCAGACGTCCCTGCGTGTGTGCTGGAGCTTGTTCTCCGACGACACGGTGGAGTACTATGAGCTGTACTACAGACCAGTGCTGGAGGACATGCCAGCAGACAGCACCTGTGCACCACACGGTATAACACAGAGACACTGGCTGCAGATTCACATTGCATGATAACACCATCTACTGTTGAAATGGTATCTATTGATATGGGAGTCTTCTAAATTTCTCTGAACGGTGACGTGTTTTGATCAGTACAGCCACATTTAAAATAGTCTGTGCCTGCTTTTCAGTCAGCACAGTAAAAGTGAAGGAGACCCACTGCACCGTGACAGATCTGCTGCCCAACGCTCAGTACGAACTGTGGGTGACTGCTACCAACACCACAGGCATCAGCCCGGCGAGCGAGAAGGCCTTATACATGACAGGTAATAAATGTCACACTCCAACAGCTACACAAGGAGTCATCAACTTGTGACAGTTGAAATAATTGTCTTGTTGTCTCGGAATGTCCCCTTAAATCACTTTCAGATGTATTTTCCTCTATTTTGTTTTCACCCCAGCCTCATATGATTGATGTTGGAGAGAGTAAAGTCTAAATCTTTGATTCCCCTCTGCCTTAGTGCCATCGCCTCCAGTGATCAAGCAGAGAGAGTGTACTAGCTGTCCAGAGGCTGCTCTGATCCGCTGGGAGTCAGGAAACACCAACCCTGTAGACTCTTACACTGTGGAGCTCAGCGAGATGGGTACTGACGGCACAGAGAGCAGTGTTACCGAGTAAGAACTGCGTTAACATAAACCTACAGTTGACAGATTCAACATGGAAACAAACGCGAGATTTAATTGTGTTTTCCTTGAAATATTTCACACAGAAAGATGAAGGTAAAACAGCTCAGTTGGAGCAGGAATGCTCGACTGGATATTCCGAGCTTCAAAGATGCAGTACCCCATGATATTTGTCTTCACCGGCCTGTCCTTTTAATAAGGCGTTTGCTTCAATACATCCATAAACAAGCCTGTGTTAGTGCTTGCCTGGGCTTTTTGAGGTCCCATGGTTATAGAGCTGCTGAATCAAGACACTCTGTCCTAGAAAATCTATTCTTAGCTTCAGCTCCTGCAGCACTATAGCCTCAGCTAGAGTACTGTCCTCACATTTGGGGTCATTTTAATTTTTCATCTGGTCACTTCAGAGAATAGTCGAAGCATTTATTTCAATAGTGCAAAATGTTTTTTTGCATAAAGGAGCCTAAACTGCATTAACTGAAATAGTTACGTGGTCCAAATATGACAAAGTTCCTATTTAACCACCCCATTTATCCACCTAGTGTTTCAAAAGACGGGACAATATGTTATTTCAAGGTTTTACACTCTGGTAGAGAGGTATGGAAATAAAAGACAACCCAAGAAAGTTGCCATCAGTGTGCATTTAATATATTTTTATAAAGGAAGTGATGTCAGCCTTCTGTCCTATTTGTTAATCCCCCAGGTCTATAGTAGCTGTGCCCACCTGTCAGTGTCTGATCCAGCTGCAGACGGGGCGGCGTTACCTCATCTCTGTAAGAGCAGTCAACATCGGCGGGCCCAGCGTCAGAAGTGAAGCTATTACTGTCTCCACAACAGGTGAGAACGATCATGGAGCAGCCTGTTTATGGTACTTTTGGCCAGTGGTTGAAGAAGTATTCAGGTCATTTACTGAGGTAAAAGTAGCAATGGCTATTTATAAAAATATCTCATCATAAGTAAAAGTCCCTTATTCAAAATTTTACTTAAGTAAAAAGTAAAACTACTTGTGTTAAACAGCCTCTGCCAGTGTTTTTCTCATTGATGTAACATGGTTCCCAATCTTTTTTGTTTGACCCCATAATACAAAGCAATGTCTACTTGGATTTAAATACATTTGAGTCCCGAAGAGGTCAAACTATAGGTACTATAAGTGTTTCACAAGAAAGAAACCCATTTGCACATTTGTATGACTGACATTTGCTTACCTGTGCAGGAACGTTCTTCTACCTCCTGGAGGACAGCGCCCACCCCTGCCTGTCCTTCTCTGAAGATGGCTTTACGATATTTTATGGCGACGAGGAGCTGCCGATCAGCGCTATGGCCTTGGGCGATAACACCTTCACCAGGTAAAGTGTACAATGGCTTGTGTGACAAAAAGGACAATAAAGGAAACTTTTAAGATAGCCCTTTGAGTGTATATAGTAAATTAAGTGTGTGTGTACAGATGTGTAGCTGTCCTGGGGGATCTGATTCCAGTGCGAGGCAGGCATTACTGGGAAGTTGAGGTGGATGATGGGACGGAATTTAGGATCGGAGTTGCGTATGAGGACACAGGGAGGAACTCGTACCTCGGAGCCAACAATACGTCCTGGTGTATGAGACACATTCTTACTCCATCCAGGTAACAGGGCAGCACTTAAAATACCCTCACTGTTATTAACCCTAATATTCGGTTTGGGGTCCCTGCTTTCTATCTGTGATTGGTGTTGACAGTACTTTATACACACTACAATTATCTATTAGTCTAGTAAGTAACAGGATAACATGCTGTACATCTCTTTCGTCTGTGAATTACTTTTTGGCAAACAAAAGGAAATACATTTTTAACCATATATAGTTTGTGGCAGAGGGGTTGTAACTTTAACTTCTCTTCATAGTTTTTTTTTAATTTAGAAAGAAGAAAAAATATTCAAAGGAAAAACATTGATTTTGCACTTACATTACTTTTACACCCACTTCGGGACCCCAAATAATGAGGAGGTAAAGTTTCAACAAATGAAGGGTTAACCAAGTACCCTTGGTTTACTGCTGTCACTTTTTTTAAACATATTTTTTATACATGTCCCATGTGTTGTGCAAGTTTGGAATTTGTTTTAACAAGACTTCACAGACCAAGTAGATGCAGATTTTTCAGCCAATCTGATATCTCAATTAGCATGCTGAGCCTCTGAGGGACGACTACTGCAGTTCATGGAAACTGGGCCAAGACTGTATTTTTAGCCACCAGAAATTTTCCTTTCCTAAGCAAAAAATTGTGCATCCGCTCTATGCAAACCCAAGCCCACTGAAGGTAGAAGAGCCCCACAGTTGAGTATCTGTTACTTTATACGTGTTGCTATGGCAACTCTTCTTGGAACAAAGCAGGACCGCTGAATTGTCACATTTAGCAAATCAAGAGCGGCATATCACACAAGCCCTGAATGTGGTTTCCATTGTAGGCATGCTCTTGGTGATTCTGCCTACGCGCAATTTAACAATCACATTTCTCATTTTCTTTAATCCGCAGCCATTTGAAATCCTGCTGTTGGCTCATGATTCAGCATCTGCCTTCCTAATGGCTGACAGCGGGAAAATTATCCCAGACAGGATGAGAGAAATGCTTTCTATTCAGAACTTCTCTATCCACAATCATGTTGCCTTTTTTTTCCCCCTTCTTCCTTCTTTAGGCATAAATATGAGTTTCTGCACAATGGCTGGAGTCCTGACCTGAGGATTACAGTGAACCCTGTGCGGATAGGAGTGGCACTGGACTACGAGAGGGGGACTCTGTCCTTCTTTAATGTGGATCTGGAACAACACTTGCATACCTTTCACTGCCACTTCGGAAATTATGTTCACCCCTGCTTTGGCATGGACAACCCAGGAGCTCTTACTGTACATAATGGCATCGAGGCACCGGAGTACACATTCATCTGACACCAGCAATAGTAGTATTAACGACACAAAACCCAGGGCTGCTGGGAAGTGAAAAAAAACTTATTTATAACACTTACCCAAAGCTCTTCAATAAAGAAAACCTGAATTCATAAAAAAAAAAAAACATATCTGCTGACCTTTCTCAGCAGTATAAAATGTGTGTGATATAAAGACAATAGGGGGTTTTCAGTTCTTTTTATTATAGTATTCCATGGGAACAGGCATACACCATTTTCCAAGATAAGAAAAGTTTCACTGAATTTTACAATATGTATTTATACCATCAGCAACTGCAGCAGACCAAGTGTTTCAGTTCAAAAAAGGAAATAAGGGGCTTGTTTTTGATAAAACAAAGATGCTTTGAAAAATGAAATTAAAGTGTTTTAAGAAAGAAAATCCACTTGTAGTTATTATACATTTGTATTCACATCTTAAAAAGGAAAAATCCACCCTGAATACTTACACACTGTTAAAAAGTGGCAATTTTGTTTGATAGTGGTATATGTTTTGTGAGGAGAAGATTTCTCTGCCATGTAAGAGATTGGCAAGTGCACATTTTACCGTCCCAAAAAAAAGAGGCTTCTATCAAAACAGCAATAACACAACGGAGAAGAACACAGTAGAAAATATTTGTATTTCTAAAACCATATCCTCAAAATTCCCTAATGACATGTAGCCACAAGATGTGTTGCACTTCAAGTCATGTGGCTAAAAACACACAAAATTGTTGGCGGGCCTTCTATATTTACAATTGCTTTAAAAAAGGTGGGCATATATTTAAATTCCCACACCACTGGGTGAGCTTATAGAAAGACATTCTGGGAGAAACATGAAAAAACTAACTGAAACAGATGTACACAAAGCAAAACCTACATCAGGACAAGAAATTAAAAACCCATCTTAAGAGTCCGGGAAAGCCCCGAACATCAGAAACCAGTGATAAGTCAAAGACCATAACAGTGGTTTGTTTTTGATTTTTTTGCAGCCTGTTTAGTACCTTATTTTTTATTTTACTGCTATACAGTATATACCTGTATTTAGAGTCCTAAAATGGATGTCAGTACACAAAGTGGCACCAGAAATGTTAATCTGGAGATGAATGGAAAACCATGTCTGCTTGGGTGGAAGAAAAAAATGTAAATGTAATAAAGTTGTATTTAACGTCTTGCTTGGGAAATTGTCAAATATGAATTTGTTCTTTGTAGTAAATGAGGTAAAACATGGCAAAACACTGGTATAGTCCTAAAACTCTGTGTGATAATGCAAGAGTGGATTTTTCCTTTTATGGGATTTGAGAACTGTTTTAAATATACTAAATGTAGATTTTGGGTCTGTGGGGATCCTGGGCAGTGGGGATGGGGCAGGACAGGGGTTATGAGTTATCGGTCTTACTGCTGCGTATCCTCTCCTCCTCTTCATCGGAGGAATCTCCTCCATAGGGCACTAGCCCTGATGCATCTTCATCCACTTTAGACTTCTTCTCGCACACCTCCTCTTTAACACCTGTAAGGGCACAATAAAAATGGAGAGAGAGAGAAAAGTAGAAAGAAGGAGGGACACATGAGAGACAGAGAGGATGGGGTAGGGGGGGGACAAAGAGAGAGAACAAAACAAAAAGGTAACCCATTGAGGAGCCCCATGTTAGCGCCGTTTTTTGAGTTCGTGTGATCCACAGCCAGGGGAGGGAAGATATCAAATGAAACGGCAGCAGAGCACACATCCATAACAGGCAGGTCCCGAGACACATGTTGAGAGAGAAAACAAGGGAAAGACAAAAAACATATACAAGAAGAGCGTGTTAGTAGGTTCTACCAGTGGAGAGATTCACACAGGTCTCCACTCCTCCCCAATTCCTCCATGGGGGGAGATGCCATTTCATGCAACAGACAACTCAACAAATGTCTGAGGACTCAGGCTCTCAGAATTTTAGGAAATAAGGAAATGCATACCCATTGATGCGCTGCTGACAGGCAGACTGACTGGATCTTCTGTTACCGCGTCTCTCGTCCGTTTGCGCGCAACAGGGGCAGGTAGCACAAAGGGAGGTGGCGGTGGAGGCATCAGAATCCTAAAGAGAGAAAAACATCAATATCTACAGCGCTCATGATTCATGTAGAATAACATACAAGAGAAATAAGATCTATTAACACACCTTTCTACTACTTTCTCCTCTTCAACACTGGAGGCAGGACGTTCAGACTCCTGATGAGCAGGACCCTCTGGAGAGCTGCTGGTAGGCTAAACAGAGAAATAACAAAACATTAAAGACAATTCCAAACTTTAACATATAAAAGAAAATATTTCATCCATTAGAAACATTTTTCAGCATGTGAAAATGCTTAAAGTTGTTTTTAAACTTTTTCTTTTTTAGAATAAACTTCAAACATTTATTTTATCATTTTAACTAGGTGAAGTCACATAAAGATAATTAAAAAGTTTGTGGCGAAAAACAGCAGCATAATCAGCAGCTCATTTACTGAGCGCAACAACAGTCAGATTACTGCAAAATTCTGATTTGCGGCCAAACCTGTCTACCTGAGTCGTATGCAGACAGGCAGTAAGTCAGCAAAGGCTAAAGTAATGGTTACAGCAACATTAAAACTATTCTAAGTTGGATGGTTTTTACTTCAAGCGTTTCAAGAGAAGTCACATGACACAGCAATGTGAATTTAACCAAGCCTGAAGTGCTTTCAGTGTTGACTGTTGATGTTGGGAATTTCCAAATGGTCAGTATTGTATCCATTTTTAGGCTAACACAGTGATGCAGCTTAAAACACGTCTGTCGTCAAAAAACACTGCTCACCCTTGTTTAATAGCCATTTGTATTATCGATGGTAATGTGACAATTAAGCATTTATGTAACTCGCTACTGAAATGGATAAGCAATATAATTGTTCTCCCCTATGAATGGTGAAGACCAAACGGTTAAACTGCAGTAACTCAAACACGTTGAGTGAAAGAAGTGTTAATGTTAAAGTGGCCAGAATTATATTCATCTTTTTATCAGGTGTTTCTCTTTAGCTAACCTGTTCTTCCTTAGCCCCCTCCTGGAAATGACGTTTGGGACTTCCTGAATCAGCGGGGGGGTTTAAAGATCCTTCAGGCTCCACTGTCTCACTGCTGCCAGGATCCTTCAGTAAAGCAAAACCAACACATACACACTGATGCAGCAGCCCGATTGTAAAGAACTAAAGTTTCACAAAGACCTCCACAGGTTTCAGGTGCCCTAACCTTAAAATAAGGATTGTTACATAAACCATGAGCTCAAAACTTATTAATATTTCGTTTTTTGAAGCTTGTGGTGTCTGCAGATTCAAACAGATGCTGAAATTAGCAAATGTTCCATTTTTGGTGGCTAAACATATGGCTATAGTACTTGCGATAAGCAATTAAAAAATTATTTTTGGCATTTCACAGTCCAAGTTAATCAACAAAACTAATAACTAATACAAGAACCCTGAAACAATAATTAGTGGCAGCCTTAATCTTGGGCAATTACCTGGACGAGATAGGGATGCGGTTTCCTAGGACACACCGGATACTGAACCATTGCCTGAGAAGATGGAGGGTTTGTCGACATGTTAGAATGAGTTGGGGGACCATTTGCATTACTCCAATAACCACTGGCTCCTGGGTACGCTGAATAGCCGCCAGCATACCCATTTGCTGGGTAGTTATACCAGGATCCCTGGCTAGAGTAATTGCTATTAGGTGGAAATCCATGTGCTGCGTATGCTGAAATGAAAGTATAGAATGTGGAGTTAATAGCATATATCACACGAGTCAACTGTTTTGAAAAGTGTGACCTACTATTTCAACCTATTGTTGAGCCACTAAAGACGTCATGGGAGGATTAATTACCACAAGAAGAATGCAGACAGCTAGTACCTGATATTTGGTCACCCTTTTGGAATTAGTTACAAGGTGTGAAAAAGAAAGTACTCACGTTGTGTTGAGCCTGTGGCTGTGTACACTGACACCATCCGGGCATGTTCAGCTCTCACCTGGAGAATGAGAGAAAACAAAAACTATATAAAAGAGATAAATAATCTACAAAGGCTGTGTTGATTGATTTTCAACAGTTGAGTTGCATTGTGGGTAGGTGCAGAGCACTCAAGACCTATCTCTGGAGATCAGGTGGTTCACACTACCACTTTCACTTTAGGAGGTGGGTATCGGTGAAAACTATATGCTTCAGTAGTTTCACCTTCTTAAACCTCCCATTAGACTAACATTTAATTCAGTGACTCCACAATATAATTTGTAGTGAAAATATCATGAACTTACAGTTTCTAGCAGACTCTCTGTGAGTTTCTTCGCTGCCTCCAATCCAGTTGCATTTGGGTGGCTGTAAAACACAAATTTGTGAATTTGTTAAATATGATGAGAACAGATGAAAGACTCAGGACAGAACTAACAGAACACAAAGACAGAAGTTTTAGCTTTTATTTGCAAGCAGGGCTTTTTATATGGCTGTTTCAGAAATGAACAAAAACTTTTAAATTCCCTTTATTAAATCAGAACTGAAGTTTTAGGAAAGATTTGTTTTCTTGTTTGAGCAGGTACATTTAGGTTAATTCATTTAGCTCCATTTTGTTTATTATTTTGCTGTTTTCCCACCCTGAAGACAAAATAATGAAATGTTTTGTTGCTGGTGGTTCGGGGGAACTGGGAATAGGAGAGTCTCATTTTCATGTTGCACCTGGGTTTACATTCTCTTACAGATGGCTATCCAAATGATAACGAAGTTTCATGCCACCAGGTTCTACTTTTCACTCGGTGGTTAGCACAGCCACACAAACAGAGTTGAATTAGAATCCTATAAGAGGACTTGAAATGAATGAATGAATGAATGAATGAATGAATGAATGAACGAACATACCTGATGTAGACATAAAGAGGCTCAAAAGACTCCCGTTTTGATGCTTGTTCAATGTAGCCAGAAGTTTTCCCCCTGAGAAAGACTCGAGCCCCCGTCTCTGTCTGGATGTGACTCAGGTACGAACCTCCTGGACCCTCAACCTTTTCATTCACGTTGAATGAGGGCAAAGCCTGGTCCAGACCCACAAAAATCTTTGTGTGCACAAAACTCTGAGGATAATGGAAACATGTGACTCATTATGATGCCCTGGACATTTAGGTTGTTTGACATCTAAAATAAGTTTGACTAGAGGTAGAGCAGCTTTGTAAGCAGATGCAGTTATCCAAGGTGTTTTTCTTATAGACCTGGGATGTTCTCACTGCTACTTAATTTTGGAGGTGGGTATCAGTGAAGGCAACATGGTCTTCATTTGCCTCACTTTCTTAACCTCCATTTGCAAAATCATGACTGACACAATAAGAAGCCACAAACAATCAATATTTAAAACACAAGACACCCGGGCTGCATAATGAATTGCATACAATATAATCCCAATTTTACTTTGCATGTTGTGTAATCATTTCATGTGCCATTGTTACACATCCAAATGAATGAACTTTTGTTTTAATCCAGGTTGCTACCTCATGTGCTTGGGGGCCTGTTAACCATATTTATAGGCTAAACTTGTGTCAAAAATACATTTTCATATAGTTCTATCACACATTTAAAAACAATCTATTCAAATGATGGTCATTCATTTTTCTTCTGATCCCCTTCTCTGCTCCCCTTTCCTGTCTATCTTCGTCTGTCACTATCAATAAAGGCAAAAAATAACTTTAAAAATAAAAAATAAATAACCACAGTCCATATTTGAGGCCAATCACTGATCGCTAGACGCAGTATCAGCTGATATCGATCACTGGGTCTATATAAAGACTTGTGTTTACAGTATATACTTATGTATTATTTACTATTCTTAACAACATTGTATATTAAGTATTAAAATTCAGTTTAGCAGCCAGCTTATTGGCTCTTCTGATTGACGTTTATAGAAACTAACTGCAGTTAACATCGGCCTATTACAATAGGTGACTGATCAATCGAAGCACCCTCAACAAAAACTGCACCTATTGAGTGTACTCAATAGTCATCTCTGTCCCTTGAAAAAACAAGTCATAGGACAGAGATAAAGATAAAAACAAGTAATATTAAGAGTACAAAAGACCTGCTGATAGTAAGAGGTTACTCCCTTCTACAGGGCACAGTGCAATATATATATAAAATATATGCCATAAATATGTATGACATGGTAACATTTTAGCAATGAATCCCCAGGACACTAAACAGATTTCACCACCATTTGTAGCAAAGTAAACTTCAACATAGACGTCAAGTCTGCCTACCCCTGAATGAGGAGCTGCAGGCCGGTGTCCCTGGCCTGGCACTGAGTTGGTGTTGGGCATCCGCGGCGCTGATGTGGGAATGACGGGGCGAGGAGGCTGAGGGTAGAGGGTGAGCGGAGGCATTACAGGTACCTGTTGTCCTGATGCTGCTGAGGCCCTCAACAGGTCCTCAGAGATTATCTCCTTTATCCTCAGCACAGCCTCTAATGTTGCAGAAAAGTTAACAATGTTTAGACACCAGCCAGATTGAATCCCTTGCCACATAGAACAGGAATGCTTATGACATTTGTGAATTACATTAGATGAAGATAATGATTCTGTATATTTAGCAGATAAAACAGTGCTACTTACTATTGACCTGCTCTTGATTCTTTCCCTGGACATGCAAATACAAAGGTCTTTGTCTGGAAGAAAACAAATCAGAAATGTCATGGACAAACAACTTCTGCACTCTTAGAAACATCTGTTACTATAAGAACATGAATATAATATATTAATATTAATATATAGAATATTACTTTTAATATATGGACTATTAGAATATTATATAAGATGTCCCAGGTTGGTACCAAGGATAAGTGTGTCATATAGCAGGTTACAACTGTTATATCAATTTATCAGGTACATCTTTAGTAAACACTTAGGTAAATAAAAGCCTCAGATCGGACTCAGTAGACTCAAGACTCTGCAGATAAAAAACTTGATCGTGATATCCAGTCTTTGTACATACCCTGCTTTACCCTTTTCAGCTTCGGTCATGAAATGGCCTTTGGTTGAGGTGACTGCTCCACTAAACTGTCTGATCTGAAAAAAGTAATAAGAAATTTGAAGACATTTAAAGCTGTTTTTTTTTTTTTTTTTTTTAAAAGCTTTTCTTAACTTTTTTTCTCACTTTGCCCATTTTATTAACTAGTATGCAGAGTCACATGTAACACTACCATGGCCACTATTCATTTACCTCCTCCTGTGTTTTGCCTTTAGTAAGAAGGTCCCTGCAATTTAGCGGTACATCATTTATGTCGACCTCTGTGACCACCATCTCTTCTGTAGTGGCTGGCGCAGGCACACTTGGAGGGGTCTAAAAGACACGTGAAATGAAAAGGAAAACAGTAAGCCCTCAATTGACATGCATAAACAAGACACAATGTACAGTTATTTGCTTCAGTTTGTTTTATAAGCCATGTGCACCTTTGCAAGTAACGGTGGAGGAGTCAACAGCTTTCCTTTTGCCATCAACATGGCATTTATTTTAGCAGCCATGGCCGCAGCCATTTCAACTCCTCCCTGGGGCGCTGGCTTTTCTCCCATTTGTGGTGGCTGGGACACTGTACTGTTTGAACCTGCAGTGCTGACAACTCCTGATAAAGAGACAGGGTGGCCTGCATTTTGACTACTCCTCTGCTGCCTTACATCTACACTCGGTTTAGGTTGGGCTGGCTGATCCCATCGGCTGGTTAGGCACCTGGAAATGAAACAAACAACAACAAGCAAAATGTTAAACAAGCACAGCTATAACAATTCATTTTGACTACATCACAGATGCATAAATAAACAACCTGAATGCTTTATCTGTCCTTGTTTGCTCAGACATAACTTATTATAATTACCCCCCAAAAAAAACATACAAACGACCCTGATAACTTCTGTGGATGGTTGTTTATGGTAGCCAAACGTACAGCACGTTAACAGATATGTTTTACAGGTATGAAGGAAGCAAACACAGATTTTAAATCAGTTAATAAGTTAATCGTTTCCAGCTTACGTTAACTTACACTGAAGCTAAGGCTAAGCTACCTAACTTAGCAACTTACGATACAGTTTTTTTTTTTTTTTTTAGCCTTCGTATCATTAACACACTTATTTAAGCCTTACAGAGATATATTGTTCGACTATTCTGATAAAGTACATTCAGCTCAGCCTATTGGTGTTGGCTTTTAAGTCTTAAAAAAAAAAGATAAAATAAAATATAACCGACCCCAACAAGCTACCACTTATTAGCAGGCCACGACCATGTATGCTAGCGGGTTAGCTTCACTATTCGGTTCAAGTGTTTAACGTTTAATGTTTAATGTTAGCTCAAGTTACGACAAAAATAAAAAACTCACGGTGTTTGTCCAGTCATTCCCGAAGACATAGCACCGCTCCACTAAACCTGCAGCACAGATTAAAACAGTCTCTGATGTAGTTGACGCTGAACGACGGCAGCCATCGGTCGGCTCCTCTCTGGCGATTTATTCTGACGATGTGTCGCAAAAAGTCTGACTTGGCGGAAGTCGGGTTGAGTTCCTGTTGGGGAGGAAAAGGTTTCTGATCTCCAAATAACTTGAGTTAATTTATCAGCAAGTGTGTTTAAACGTCGTTAGAAAACAAATAGCACCCAAAGTGGGAGATTTTAAAATGTGTGATTAGGTTTGAAGTGTAGAAGGATTCAACTTAAAGCTGCAGTAGATGATTAGAAAAATAAAAAAATTATTTAGTTTAAAAACTTTACTTTATCCTGACAGTAGCACATGAGAAAGATAACCTGTGAGGATCCACCGGGCCTGGAGGAAAACAACCAATCAGAGTCAAAAACCATAGTTGATTGTTGAGTCTCATTCCCAGGGTGTCAAATAATAATAATAATAATAATAATAATACATTGTATTTGTAAAGCGCTTTTCATAAAAGAATCTCAAAGTGCAACAGAAACCAAGAAACACAATAACAAAAAACACTAAGGGCAATAACACATAAAAATCAGCAACCGATAATAATACAAGTGATAAAATACATTAAGAAAAAACAAAAAAATCTAAGGACAACTTAAGAACGCCTGCCTGAACAAGAAAGTTTTAAGCCCTTTTTTAAAAGTGTCCACAGACTGGGGTTTTCGCAGAAATACAGATACCACGGGACCCTGGGAATTAGTCTCAACTATCTTCAAGCTTCAAAGCGTCTTTATGTCTTTCTTGTTGCTCTGATTGGTTGTTTTTTTGTTCAGGCCCGGTGGATTCTTGCAAACGCTATTAGGAACGCTAGAACGAGGCAGAGGAACCTGATCTTTACACAGATCGTCTGTCTCATGTACTACCGTCAGGACGTTATAGCGAATATGACAAAAAGTTATTTTTCTAAAAGTGACCTACTGCAGCTTTAAGGACCCCGTTCGTGACCATGGCCAAATTAAAAAGCTATAGGGGACCTTGGGGCAAAAGAAAGAGCAGCTGGGCCGCTGTTAAAGGTACCATTACGTTAGATTTCCACCTAACAGTATTTGCTCCGTCTCCCATTTGCTTCAACTGAAGACCACACAACAGATGAATTCCAGCATGTGTTTCCTGTTTCTGTGTAAATCTTCAGTCGGCTCCAGCTCCAGTCTATGTTCCACTTTTTGGTTTGATTTGATTTATTGACAATATTCTAATATATTTATAAAATACAACATTATAGACTTTGTCATGGATAAAAGGCCTGCACCATAATCCTGGACTTGTTTCTATTGTTGTCGCTGTTTTGTTTTCCATTCTGACAATCTTTATCAAGACATTCAATGTTTGACTTTACAAAATGTGGCTAAAATGTGCTCTGCTTGGAAAAAGAACAATTATTATAGTGCAAAAATGTATTTAGCCCCAAATAATGTACAAAGTAGACCATGACAGAATGTGCATAATATATGAACAGACAGTATTCTACACAAACCAGACTAGAACATTTATCTTCTGTATCAATGTAATATAATTTAAAAATAGAAAACATTTTAAAGAGGAAAGAGACTGTTCTCATAATAAAACAAAGTATTTGTTGTTTGTTGAAACCTATGTCTATGTTTAGCTGACATGGACCTCGTGCATCTTTGTGCATTATTGACTCGTTTGCCAGTAACAAAGGTGGAAGTTGAATGACGTCTTTAGCAACGCAAAACCTTGAGGTGAGGAGGTTGTGGTAGATAAATGGGACAAGAAACCAACAACCAAATACTGTCTTCTTTTAACCATGGCCACAAAGTAGTTATTTAACCAAACCATGATCTTTCCCTAACCCCAAGTCTTTTTTGTGCTTAAACCGAGGGCTGCCTAGATTTCATCCTTAAATATGTTGTTTTGTCCACATCCCAAGAATATTCACTTTCCATGTCATGGAGGACTAAAGAAACCAAAAAATATTCACATTTGAATAATTGAAATGATGTAATTTGGATATTTTTCTGAAACAAATCACTCAAAGCAATTATTATCAAAATAGTTGGCAATTAATTTAATAGCTGACAACTAATTGATTGACCAATCATAGCAGCTCTAAACCTAACCCAACCTTAAAGCAAGAATATGTAACGTTGTAAAGAAGAAATAACACATTCTTCCCTTCACAAATGAAAAGTCATAAAACACACCCTTCATAAATTCAATACATTCAGGGGTTTTGCTGCTACAACTTTACTTGGTCTGGTGTGACCAGTTGATTATGGTGGCTAATGTAAGCAACAGTAAGCTGCTCTGGAAGACGGAGAGCAGATTTGTACAATGTGCCATCTGGGTGATATACAGAATTAGTTCCATTTTGCTTTGTTTTGCCCGACACAGTAGACATCCAAGACAGGCTCTCGGTCAGCCACCATGTAGTTTGAGATGTATCTTTTGCCCCCATTCAAAAAACTGAAAACCTTTTATTCAAACATCTCAATCTTATCTAGATTTCTCTCTAAAAATTAAGATAGTTCAAAATAAAACAAGTAACCTAAAGAGGTAGTTAGATAGCTAGACAGACTCAGTGCAAATATTTAATAATGAGTGAAAAAAGACAGAGAAAGACATAAGAGACAGACATTGAATCATTGCAGGAAATAGACTGCAAACTTATAATTGACATTATTTTATTTTTCATTGAATAGTTTCTAATTTTTTTTCCGTGCCTTCAGACCAAGATGTGAATCAGAAGGAACAAACAAATCCCCTGATTGAGTGTACAATTCTGTCATAAGAGAGAAACAAAGATAACCATGGTCAATACATCTTATTAACCATCATTTGCTTAGCTGTTATGGCATTTATATACTGTTTAAAGAGGAAATATTCTTAATAAGCAACAATCTTTAACATATATTAGTATCCTAATCTGAAACCAGCCTCGAACAAAAAGCTGTTCCCTGGGTCTGTGCATAAGGATGTTGGACAAGTGGCCAAAATAGAATGGTGTTTGATCAAAAATCAATGCAAGCTGGCCTCTAGGAGACTGCTTAAAGACAGTGATAGACAACTCTGCGATCCACATCCTTCTTAACCATTTAGTTCTCTGTATACATGCTCTACATGACCATCCAATTCACAGGTATTCAGATAGCTATAATGGTTGATCTCATTTGCTGCAAATCCAGTGTAAAATTCATTGTCTATAAAAATATTGAGATTTACTTGAACATAACCTTCTGACTATGTTATAATAAAAACTCCAGATGTCCGTTGCAGTTGCACAGTGGGATGTACTGTATAAATATTGTATAAAATAAGGCAGTCTTTTCAGTAGGATAAACCAGATACAAAAATTTCTGGGAGAAAAAATTTTCAAGTCCAAAATGTTTTCACATATTTCTGCTGTTGTCAAATGTCGAGCGGTTTACAGCATTAAACCAAGAGTAAGGGATTGTTGCACAATGAATACACCCACGCACCCACACCTACAATCCAAACACACACACGCACACACACTCTCACACACACACTCTCTCACACACACACACACACACACACTCACACACACACACACACACACACACACACACACACACACACACACACACACACACACACACACACACACACACACACACACACACACTCACTCACTCACTCACTCACTCACTCACTCACTCACTCACTCACTCACATATACATACAAACTCCTGATGATCAACAATAACAGCTTATTCTACAATGCAACATCCCATCCCTGGACAAATCACTGAGACGTAGACATTTCTAATATTGTTTACAGTGCAATACAAAAGTGTTCATTCAAACTGGTACTGTACTTTTGATAAGAAAATAAAAATGTTTAATATGGTAATGCTTCATATGAATAATAATTGTGAATTTTTGAGAGTTATAGTAGTATTTATCTTCATCAGCTTTGGCTTTTCTCTCTCTTTTTGAAATTCAGTTTGTTCTTATTTATCAACTAATTCATTTATGAATTTTAATATAGAAAATAAGAAACATCTAAGAAAAATTAACAAACCAAATCATCTGTAATTAGTTACCTATGATCATGATGTTGAGGTTTCTGTCTCTCAGCAGTGGCCTAAAGTAAAGATCCACTCCCTGACCCAAAAAGAAAGCATCCCCTCCCACATGTCTGTTATGACCGCTACGTGTCAACTTGGATGTGTTTCTGAAGGACACATGAGTATATTGCCCAAAAAAAAAAAAAAAAAAAGCAGTGGAGTGTTCTTTCATGGTGTGGCCTCCAGGGGCAGAGGGAGTAGTCCTGCCTTGCTGCGAGCAAAGGGATGGAGGTCAAAGGTGATTGTATGGCCTGATGGTGTTGGGACACCTTCATATCCAGACCACAATTCCATCTACTCCTCCAGTGTTGCTCGCTCCTTCAGTAAACAAGTAGTTTTTACTTAAACAGCAACTTCACAGCCAGACAGGAGAGCCACTGTGGTAATTAGGGGACGGATGCTTTGCCAGGAGACCTGTAAGGAGCCTCTCTCAGTCATGTCACTTGACCAGCTACACTGCGAATGCCTGAGCGGCACGAGAAGTTCATAAGGATGCTGTGTGTCCGTGTCTGTTTGTCACAGTTCTCATCTGACAGGGTTGTAAAGCCAGCAATGTCCCCGCTGCAACTGCCTGTCAGGAAGTCCTTCTGTGGTTTCTGTATGGACGGACATGTGGACGCTCGGCGTGCTACAGAAGCAGGAGAGTGAAGGCGAGGAGGCCCTTTGGCTGGCAGGGAGAGAGACGCCCCAGCACGAGAGAGAAGGGCTGCCCCAGACTGCAGAGTCCCGGGGGGTTGGACACTGCAGAGCCTACTCTGGAGGTGGTCGCAGGCTGTGCAGCTTCCTCTCATCAAGGCCTTTCCAGTACTTGAAGTTGTTGTCCAAGTGCTGCATAAGATTGGGGAGGTCTGCAAAAGCTGGAGATGCAACAAAAGCTCAATATCAGTTTGTTTTTAATGTTTCCTTTTTTATTTGAATTAACACCGCTATCTTATTAATACATTTTTATAAATAAATTAGTAGGAATGCACCAATCCAACTTTTTCTCTCCTGGTACCGATTCTTAATCCTCAACTCAGGATATCTGCCAATACCAAGTACCGATTCCCAATACAGATACCAGTGTTTTTCCCAAATTGTATATCTCTCTATGCGTACATCAATGGATTTATTTTTATGTAAGGTAAAACAAGGCCAGGGATTGCTGTGACTGCCACCGAGTTTGTGGCCCAGAGTGACTTAATGAATGTAACTGATAATGGAAACACTGAATTTTATAATGACACAGACAATGGAACTGTATCTAATATGGCTTAGTCACATCCCGGTCAACACCTGATCCGCTTCATAAGATCAGTAATCTGCACTGGTACTGATCCAGTGTATCGAATCGGTTCAGCCCTGAGACTTAGTACAAATGTAAGTATAAAAGTATTTAAAACAAATATGATTACACTTCAAAAGGTCCAGTGTGTAACATTTATGAGGTTCAGTGTATAGTCAACTGAATATAGGAATTTCTTTTTTTTTATCTACTGTCAAATCCAGACAGCAGCAGTATTCAGTTAGTTGCGATCTGAAACTTCACCGATAGATGCCACTAAATTCGATACAGTGGTCCTTTAATGCAGTTGCTAATAGAATTCAGATTTAATGCAGTGTATATATCTGTAGTGTTTGCATCGTGCTGTGCAGTCTTACCATCCCATGCATCAAACATGTCCGTAATGAAGTAGTCTATGAAGGAAATCTGGGACTTTGGGATGCTACACGTGTTTCTGTCAAACACAGGCATAACCACTGGTAGACCTTGTCTCTTCTCTTCGTCCGTCTGTACATGAATGACAGCACAAATACATATATTACAGCAAAAACACACTGCAGCTGCTGGATCAATCTCCCCACACCATCAACGCCATGTTCTTTTTTCTAATTACCTGTGCAAAATACTCCTCTGAGATGCGTCCGGCCCATTCTATACAGAGCTCCTGAGGCCTGCATGGATTGGAGATGTCTGCACACTTAATCAGCATCCGCTTGACGAGGATGCGATTCTCTGGGGATGTCAGAACGCTTTTTACAGATTCCTCGTCACCGTTTCCCTAAAAACACAGAAGCAGGCCATTAGCACAAAGACAACTGAAGTAATGCTTATTAGTGGCAATAGACAGCTCCATAGAGCACACAGCAACTGAACAACTTTTAAAGATAACTGACTGTGTTTGTACATAAACCAAACTGGGAAGATAAAAGACATGGCACTCTGGGAAAACATGGCACTGGCAGCTGATAAAAGTTCTGGTTTTCTTTATGGAGAAGGAGAGTCTGTATTCAGTGTGTGTTCATTCAGCTCTTGCAACACTTACATGTAAAAAAAAAAAAAAAAAAAAAAAAAAAAAAGTAGAGTCACATGATTTGCAGTCCACTGTAGGCCTCAAGATTGTATTCACGGACAATTATGTTAAACAGAAATACAGAAGGTCTGTTTTGCTTTGCCAAGATAAGTGAGGTCTCTGTGTCACATATACTTTAATTCAGTTAACCTTGAGACATGAAGGAGACCAAGGAACTTTTTTCAAATTATTTGTTATTTATAATCAACCTAAACTCCATTACAATTTATACCAAACACTTCTGTTTAACAGTCCTTAAGGTCGCTATATTCAGTAAAATAATTCAGGGAAAAATAAGCATAAAATCACTTATTCACATGATTCTTGCCTTTAAAGACCAAGACAGCTTTTAAATGTCTGTGTTGAGCATTCCACACACAGACGAGAAAGATGGTACCAAGTTGTAAAATTCTCTCCCCACAAAGATATCTGTGCCCAGCCAACAACAGGCAAGACAAGTCCCCTGAACCAGTATGATCATCTCTCAAGCTCTTATACTATTATTGCTTTCATACTGTTGGTGACAGAATGAGATAACAATAGTTTTTTTTGTTTGTTTTTTTTACAAAAGTGTTTATCTAGTGTCTGAAAGCTCCTGTGTATCCTTCCTGCTCTGATGCACAACACTGATGTATTTAGAAAAAAAATGCTAAAATTAGTACTTACTATTTCTACACAGAGAGACGAAATCTAAAAACATTTAAAAGTGTGGATTTCATTTATAATCTCACCCCATTCTCCTCCAGAGCAGCCAGTGGCTTGTTGATGCTGTTGACAAATTTGTTGACATGTTCAAAGTGTTTGGTCATCTCAGTTGCGAGCACCATATCAATGATGGCCTGTCGTAGTGTTCGATATTCATTCCTAGAGAGAGAGACAGAGAGAGGGGGAGAAAGACAGAGATGGGCAGAAATCAGATGGGTGCAGGAGGGGAAGGCAGGGAGAGCAGAAAAAGAGAAAACAGAGAGAGTGAGATGACAGTGTGGTAAATAGCATGGAACCCCGTGTGAACAGTTTTCCCCTTATGACTGCAGTGACAGTGGCGATGAATGGATGCTTTGTTCACCTTCCCCCTCTGAGGGGACCAGCACATGTGAGCTATTCTGCTTTGGGACTCAAATCACATTACTACCCCGCTGCTGTCAACACACGCACACAGTGTTGCTTTCATTGGCAGACTTAGCTTATCCCCTATGATGCTTCAGATGACGTCTGTATCACAAACAATTTCACACAAAATATACATTTTCTCAGTCTTGCATGTTGATACATTAGAGTGAATATTTGTTAATCTCATAAAGCAGTTTTCAGAAAATATTCATACAGCTGGGTTCCAGTGTAATCGCTGTCATCGTGCATAAACTCAAAAGTCTGAAAAATTCACCTAATTTGGACTAAATTAAAGTTCAGCCAAAAATGAGAATATAATAATTATCTTTTAAAGTGGAGATTATTAAGTGAATATTGGACACACAAAATCACACAATGCACTTATCTGATTGATAGTTGGAGTGTTGTAGGCTTTTTCCCCTAGGGGATCAATTAAAGTATATCTTCTTTTTCTTCTTTTTCCATTAACTATGGAAACTATTTTTTGTGTTTGATCCTGTGATCTTCAAATGAGCTATAAACAGCCAAGACATTAACAAATCATGACATCTTAGACCCCTTGTGCAAGGCATCTACCTACCTTTCAATGTTTTTGAATATGTTGCACTTATCATCTCTTGTGGTGATCTGGAAGGCCAGTGCAGCATGGTGGCTCTCTAGCACAGCTGTGTCATTATAGAGGATGGCCAGCTCGCTTCCTGCATTGCACAGGAAGCTGTTGGTGCGGCCTGGGTGGTCCACATCGTGCACAGTAGCAGCAATCAGGGCAGCCACCTCATCAATGGGATCCAAACTTTGCTGTTGGGGCAAACAACATGAAAAGCATGAAACTGGGAAATCTGGTATATTACTACCTTGGTCCTATTGTTATCAGGAGTGAAGTTTGGCAGTTCTGAATGAGAAACTAGGCCAAGCGCTGGCACAGTTTAACCTTATTCTACATTCACCAGACATGTCACATCCCACAATCTACACAATTGTGATGAGCATGCAGCTTAGCCCGTAGTGCAATAGGGCAATGTGCAATAAACAAACCAGCACCGTAGCACTTTAATTCTTAAAGTCTCTGACAGTCCCTTTTTAAGCTGCCACAATGTATAGTGTCTTCCATGTTTTGAGATGTTTTTATGTTGATTTTGTAATTGTTTTTTGATGTGTGTCTGTTGTTGAGGTATGCTTGTTTCTGTGAAGCAACAAATTGTAGCACTGTGCCCAAGACAAATTTCCCCTCGGGGACAATAAAGTTTATTCTATTCTATTCTATTCTATTCTATTCTATTCTAGCCTGCAGGTTTAACCAAGAAGTAGCTCAACATTGTGAATGACAATCATGATTTATTAATAGGATAACACAATACACAATGAACCGCTACATGAAGAAAATAAATAAAATGTGTGCAGAACATTGTAGATTTAAAATTGTTTTTATTTTTTTGGTAAAATATTGACTATACAATATTATAGAACAAACATCTGCACTCAACTATTTGTAATTTTAGGCATCATATTTCTGAGGTAATTTATTGTTTGCTAGATAGTTTGTCATCGCGTGTCACAGGACTATATAAAAAGTTAAAATGTGTAAGTTAAGAAGAAGAAAAAGAATATAATTCTGCATTTTTAAATTAATTTTCAACATAACAGACCTTCTAACCTGTTCCAGGGATTCATTAACCTTGGGTGATGTAACTTTACAGTTCACTGGCTAAGCCAATGAAAGATCATTCAGATCAGAAATAGACAGTTTGGTAATCAGCTTAGCCGGTGCATGCCCTAAACCAGTTACTGAGCCACTGACACACTTGGGCAAAACCACGACTTGATTATGTAGAGTCAGACAGGACACCCGACTCCGAAGACTGAGCGGAGAGCTGTGCTTGATAGTAGAAAATCCCAACATCAAGATACCGTAGGTGTTTGGGCCCAAAACCAATGATATGTAATAAAGCTGCTAACTCATAATTTTCTTAATTAATTAACCGTTAACTGTGGTTTACAAAGTGTCCGATAATAGTTAATAAATTGTAAAAAAATGGCCATCACAACATCCTGGAAACCCAATGTAACATCTTCAAATGGCTTATTTTGTTAGCAGTCATTTTGTATAGAATAAATCAAAGAAAGCTCCAATTAAAATTAATTCAATTTGTGGCATTTTGTTTGAAAATAGCTATTATCAGAAATACTGACTAATCCCCTGACTGTCCCCTGGCTAATTAACAAACACCACCTTTAGCCTAAGCAAAGTGGAGCAGTAGCAATGTTCTGAAAGCAAAAGTCACACCATGTTTTGCATATCTGGCCTATATTTTATTTAAATAGAATGCTTTATTATGAATGATCACTATTTGTTAATTTACCTTGACCCTCTCCTTGCAGAGGAAATATGCTGTTGCGTGCAATACATCAGCTGCATGAGAAGAGTTGTGGTAGGAGTTACTGGAGTGGTAGTTGGCTTCAATCACTTGTAGCCAGGAGCGCAAAGTGGCCTCAGGGCAGTTTAGGAACTCGCAGACCCCAAAGCGGGAGAAGATCTTCAGGCCCAAGTAGGTCAAAGGCCTGCGGGAGGATTCAGCATGCTAGTTTAACAAAAATCTCATCCCAAGCTCTCCCTCTACACTAAATAAAATTAGACACAGTCCCTCCTGTAGCCCTTAACTCTTTTGCTGCCTCACCGTTTCATAGTTGCAGCCTCCAAGTTGAAGACATCAAAATCCCAAGAGTCCTCATTCTCCATGGTCTGGGCGATGCGAGGGGGGATGTCGTTTAACGACAGAGGAGTTATCAGGTGACTGGGAATATGGTGGGGTTCTGTGAGCAAAGGAAGCATTCAGATAAAAAGTGGGAGGTTAGACATGTTGTTCACTACCACTGGATGAACTACAGAAGAAAAACAATTTTTTTTTAGTTTTAAATAGCAACAGAGCTGGGAAAAATAAATATAACTTCACACTTCATACAACTCTTCTGTATGCTGTATGTAAACTTACGTTTTGTGGAAAAGATGTATTCATTTCCTGACAATCTGCGTAAACCATCCTGTGAACAAGAAAGAAAAAAAGTGTCAGGGACTGAGGTAGCAAGTGTAAAAGACTGACTGCATACATACAATTCATAAATTCGTCCTTTTTGAACAGCCACATAAGGAGTTCAGCTCAGCTTCAGGAACACATGATCTCTGTCAAAAAACTGCAAGGCCCGTCAAAATAATTTAGACAGTGAAATTGTTTGAATGCTTTAGATTCAATTGTCTGACTGAGACATTTACTCTTACATCAGATCTAATATAAAAGTGATCTGTGCTAAATTAAGCTTACAGCACTGACACAGACATCAGCGTGGACTAAAAAAGGAGCAAAAAAAGCTGGTTGAGACCAGTTACGTTGCTGTGACTTGCATATGGGTTTCAACCATCACAGATGTTTCATTGACCCATTAAAACAACATGAATGATACCCAGATTTAGCCAAAAGTCAGGGGGAATTTTCATGAGAAAAGTAGATAAGAAACATCATTTTTTCATCACCTCAAAGCAGCATGAGTATCTAGTAATAATAAATAAGAGGAAACAAAGACATGGATTTTCCATATTACCACTTTTATGAGTGTCCCTTCATCTGTGCTATGACACAATATTTTGGAAGCTATGTTGACACCTCATATTGTTCCCCCACAGAGGGAGTGGAAGGATGAGGCAGCCAAGCTGAGCTTATTAATGAATCCAATATGCAGTTTAGAAAATGATTACCATATTTATGAACTGTAATAGTTGTGTCAGAAATGACACCATGATAATTTATGTACATATGTCAGATAATCTACAGTAAATTATTCCAATATGACATTTGTCTTCCTCTGGGCAGTGCTGCACACTGTGATAGTAAATGGAGCTTATAAGTGGGTTAACACTTCATCACCCAAATAATCAAACACTGCTTCTCAGTGGTTGGAAGTATAATGATCCGGCTCTTCTGGAACTGTGATTTGTATCAGCTGTGAGTAATAGACTATGTGTTAAGAAATGGGAAGGTAAAGGGCGATCCAACTGTTTAGTCACTCAAGTGTCAAAGTGTGACTCAAGTAGTGTACTCAATGATACTTAGTTCCCTAAAAATAGTCAAATTAAGACATCGTCTAAAAATCATCTTACAAATACAAACCATGTGTAAGCTTTTCATAGAATTAATAGAAGAAATTGACTTTTTATAAAACCTCTAAATTCACACAGACAAAGAAATACTGAGAACATGACCTCATGGTCCCCAGAGGAGGAATCCTAATGATGGTGGTGATCCCCTGACTTTCCATGGCATGAAATTTGGTACAAACATTCATGTTTTTCACAGGATGAATTGTAATCACTTTGTTCACTCTTAACTTTGCCATTATCAGGTCCAAAATGTTACTGCTAACTATGATTAGACTAAGATGGTGAACATGGTACACTATATACCTGCTAAATATTAGCATCTTAGGATGTTGATGGTAGCATTTAGCTTGAATACAGCCCCACAGAGCTGCTCTGTTTTATGTTTGCAACAGAAATTGTGAAAGTTTTGCATCCATTACGTTTGACTGAAACATGAAAAACATGACTGAAATATTGTTAAAAAATATGTCTCTCAAACAATTACTCTGACAAGAAGCTACAATTAAATCATTCTGAACTAAAAATGGAATTGTTATGTCTCCCCAGGCCATTTTATGTCATGAAAAACAACATGAAAATAAAACACTGAGTATTAAGGCCTCCACCTCTCTAACAACATTTTTACCACTTGTCAGCTTTGCAAGTGACAGTCCTATATCACCCAGTCACTCTGGTGCAAAATATATATATTTTGGGCGTTAGTGAGTACTTGGGCGTGTGTCGCAGAGTGAAATGTTTACTTCACAAGTGAAAAAGGAAGAGGAGACAGGCTCATCTTTGACCCGAGCATTGTCTCATGGTGGCGCTGCCTCTGTACACACTGGTTATTTTAAGACTTTCTCCCCACAAAGATGACAGCTCTTCTCTTAATGTTCACTAGGTCTTCTGAGTTCAGGCCCAGCACATCTCACCACAACAAACAGGATAAAGTAAATATGCAACCAGGCTCTTCATAAACCAATGTGACCATACATAAATAATTATCTAAATCTGAACTCACACCTCATGTTTTTCTGGTTTCATCAGCATTTATCACTTATGCAGAACAAATCTTTTGGGGAGGAAGGACTGTGTGTAACAAATCTTTGCCTCTGTGTATGTGTACATGTATAAGTAAAGCCATGCTTATTCATCTGATCCAAAGAACAGGATGTTTCCAGGCCTGTGGAGTCGAGAGGAAGAGGTTCATGTGAGTGTGACTGTGTGCATGTGTGCAGAGAGAGGGGGGGGGCAGTGGACGGGGAGAAAGAGAGGGTGGGGTGGGCTTTCCTCTCCAGCCTACAGGAGCACAAAGGACAATCTAACACTTCCTCTGGGGTTGTTGCCAAGACTGCCAACTTGGCACTCTTTCTACTTCTGTACTTCACCATTGCTGTCTGTTGATCTCTCTCGCTCTCTCTCTCTCTGTCTCTCTCTCCCTCCGACAAATATGAACAGAAATCCTTACAAAAACAAAAGTCCACACACACACGGACACTCTCTTTCTGTCATTTAACACATTATCATGGGCCTTCGCAGTGAACGCTTCATGGACATTCATGTAGACATGTGTGTTATCACTGTGGAATTCTGCAAATGCTCTGACGTGTGTTATCATATGGGAGTCGATTCATTCGTAGCGGAAGGAAGCTGTTTGGGTGTTTCAGACTTCTCGAAGGACCCTCATGCTCTAAAAGGACTCACTGCTTACCGTCATGAGCCCCCCCACAAGGTCATTCGTGTGAGGGTCTTCATCCTTGGTGCCTAACTGTGGGGAGTAGAGCTCAGTGGTCCTCAGGATCTCCAGTACCCGATCCAAGGCCTCTGCCACAGGCATAGGACTGCTTTCTTGCGCTGCATTGATGATGTTGATTACCTGGATGACAAAATAAGTAATAATAATATTAACAATAATAATAATATATTTATTAAGAACTTTTCAAACTACAATGATAAAAGCAAACTGAAAACATATACTATGTAATACAATACAATTTACTGGACCAGAAAAAAATAAGGCTAAGCAAATTCTGATAACATAAAAGAAACACAATTCAGGTAAAATCAGCATATGTTCTGTAGTTTTAGACATGCAGACTTATAAGGCACTACAAGGTCACAAATATAAAAACATTAGAACGCTAAAATTAATTAGTAAGATGCTACAAGTGATCCTGAAACATACTGGGAGCCAGTGTAAAAAGGGGTTAAAACAGGTGTGATGTGGTCAACCTAACCACCAGAAAGTTAGCACAGCAGCTGGAGGATGGATCTTTTTTTTAACCCTAACCAGACAAGATGTTTCACCCTGTTACCAGTCTCTGGCTCTATCTTCAAATTGAACAGATGGAATTCATCTTCCCATCAAAACCTAAGCAACAGTATATCCTGAAATATCAAACTATTAATTTAAATAAGAGTGTTAAACATGAATAAAAAAATCTTATTTTAAAATAAAAGTGATAAAAAAAAAAAAAGATTGGACCAGTCCAGTAGTGTAGGATGATGCTCAGAAAACGAACAGTGAAATTTACATTTTTAGTCCAAAAATTTGAACTTGGAGGTTATGAATGCTCTAACAATGGCATGTATTGCGAGATCAGCAAACATGTGCAAGAACACAAGTTCTAGCAGACACACATACACACATATGCACACAGTACCATTCCTATCAGTGCTTCATTCTGGAGAGGAGGATGCCTACAGGGACTGACTACACAGTCAAATGATACAGCAGTGGAACTGCAGTGTGTCATATGAACCATCCCTAGGGACTTTTCTCTGTTTCTGGCTATCCGGGCTGTAGACTACATAAACCACTGAAACAGCAGGTCATTCTGGTCCAACATGCTTTCCTGCTTTGTGCATGAAATGTGGCATTTCATCAGCCTATCTCGCCTTGACATGGTATGCGTGGCCTCTAGCCTCAGTGCACGTAGCTGTACAAGAAGTGCTCATGGCGGTTGTGGCAGTTTCAAAACTCAAGAGTTCAGTCATGAGATACAAAACATCAGTACAAAGTGATAATCACATGATAGATGCTGTAAGGGATGATCAGGAGGGCGATAAACCCACCTTCGTGATGGGAGCTTCTATAGTCATGGAGTGGATTCGGGCCATTGAGGAGTGCCTTCGCTGTGAGCTCCCTGGCGGGATGAAGAAAAAACACACAAAAACATCCCGTATTATAAAATTCAACAACAAATTAAGTCGCAGTTTTCCAACCACTTCCTAATGAGTGTGTTTGTGTGTGTGTCCAATCAACACTTGATGCAAACAAACAACTGGGAAGGTTTCATAAGCTGACAAGAAACGCCCAGAGTTTCCATTATCTATCTCCCTTCACTCTCACCATCGCTCCCCCGAGATGTTGTAGATCTTACGTCCAGAGAGCCTTTCCTCCGGTCTTTGTGCTTACTGGATTGGATGTCTGTGGAGAAGAAAACACCTTACATTAACACTTACACTTACACTTACACTTACACACACACACACACACACACACACACACACACACACACACACACACACACACACACACACACACACACAAACACACACACAAACACAAACAAACACAGTTCAAGTTCAGTGACAAGGAGGACTTAATCTCAACATCCTTGGGGATGTGAGTCTCACAGGTTTGGCTTGAGGTTTCAATTTAATTTTTTTTTTTAAATTGGGGAAAATGTGCAAGACCCAACAAAGTTAAATTCTAATAATTATTTTTGCTATTAAACCTTTTGTACATCAGAGAAGCTCCTTGGAAATACTCCAGTACTTGGAATTACATTGGAATTGTCAAGTTACCACAAAAAATAGTAGATATTATATTCAATTTATTTCATGGAGAATAAGGCTTATTGTCAACAACTCCCATAAAAAGATAGAAAAACCAGTATTGTGTTAGTCTATCTCTTGATACTTCTTGACTTATATACAACACTCAGCCTCAGGCCTATTAGCTCCTAAATCTGTCAATCTTTAAAAACAGGTTAAAAATAAATTGTTTTATTTTTTTAAATGGCAAGTAATTAGAAGTAAGCCATGCACTGTAGTTTCTAGCAAATCATGTGTACACAGGACTAAATAGTGCATTTGTTGGGGACTATTTTCAGCTGTTGAGTTTTTTTACAGCAAAATAAACTACAGTGTGTGTGTTCATGGTAATGACAGGACATGTCACACCGTGCAAAAGTGTGATTAACTGATGTGTTTTCAATAGTTTTTTTTAACATCAGTGGTCTATAGAGGAATAAGATACATGAGATTTTGGCTACACAGTACTTGTGGGCGGGATACACTAATTTTTGGATTTTGCCTTCTCATGGAATTTGTCAACAAGAAAAATATAGAATTTGCCAGACTTATGGTTCAAAGTTTGTGAGAAGACAATTGTCTTGGGTTAATTAACTTGTCCTCCATAAATGTGCTACTTTGTTTCAAGTTTCTGATTTAATTTAGACTTTGGATCACGTATATCTTAGACCAAAACAACTAATTCTGTCATTGAAAGGGATTTTACTGTAACCAGGATTTTGTGGGGACACAGTATAAAGTGAGACAGAAGTGGGCAGGAAACCTTTCTTTGTTTGTTTTTTTCGCCTAAGAAGGCAGACAGTTCTTCCATTTACATAATGTATATTTCAGTCTAAAATGACAGAAACATGGAAATTTAATTTTGTTTGCGATCTCTAAATGTGCTTTAAATGTAATTTTAACATCTAGGACACATTTAAGACACTAACAATACACAAACAACACATCTATGTAGATTAAACAAAACCAATGAAAAACATGTCGAAAGGCCAGAGAGAAGAAAAAGAAAACTTTTATACATTTTTCAAAATGGCAAAAGACCGACTTTTGGTTGTGTTGTAACATTAGAAACATGGTAACCCTTTGGAGGCCCTAATCAAGACGACCCAGGGGACGTAGGGGTGTTTTATAAGAGTTACTTGGAAATATACTGTGCTGTAAGACCATACAAATTTTTCAAAGTCAGTTCTTTTCAGTGAGCTGGTGAAATGACGCAAACACAGGAGAGATATGATCCCTGTTTTGTTTGCCTGTCAGGAGCGTAGCTGCTGCATTTTGAAATCACTTGCAGCTGTGAATTGGCTTTGCGGTCGATTCCACAATACAGCAAGGAACAATAGTCCAGTTTAGAGGGAATAAAAGCGTGGATAACTTTTTCAAGGTCAACAAAAGACAGACTTCATTTCTTTTTGAGATATTTCTAAGCTAGATAAAGCAGGATTGGACACCTACTGTTCTACTGTTTAAAATGTGGGTCATGATTAAAGAAAACAATGATTTTCTGGCATGGTGCAATACATTTCCTGACATATTTCCAAAGTTCTTGAGTTAACAAAGCTCAGATTCCCAAATGTGATCCATTCTCCAATTTATTGTTTTTAATCATCTGACAAAAACTATTTATATTGTTTGCAAACTATCACGTAAAATGTCATCTGTGTAACACTGGAACTGAATGTTGTTCTTCCTAATGACAAACACAATTCTGGCCCTCAGATCCTCAAACCTTGTGACAGATCACACAGAGACACTGTCATGGAGAGAACTTCCATCACTAATGCTGACAACTTGAACCTTAACTTCTCAAATCTGCAAGACTCCACAGTCTTTTCAGTGGTTTAGCATAATAAAATCATGTTATTGTAATACAGAAGTTAAGACCAGGCAGCCTTGCACCTACAGTAAGCATTTTTATGGAGTAGAGAGAATTTCAGTATGGACCTTACCAGTCTGAGACTCTGCCTGCACACGTTCACTGGTTTTATCACTCTGCATGGACAGAGGAAAAAAATACATTGGTACATGCAGGCCAGAAAAAACAAATTTCATTCATTTAATCAGCAAAACTGGAAACATATCTCACCTTATTATTATCATTTAAAGGCCAGTTGATAGACACATAGTGTCTGATTTTTCTGTGAATGACAAAAGCCAATTAGTACACCAGGAAAAATAAAGGGATATAAAAGGGATACAATCATTATTCATTCATACATCATCCAGTATAATTATCTGGTTACTGGAAATTACATTTAGCAAGACTGAATGTGCCAGGCCTCAACATATTGTCACTCACCCTCCCTGTCCAATTACAGGTGTGATCTTCACATTTTGCTGAATGCTGTCTCCATTCTTCTTTTTGGCATAATAAATCCCCTGCCACTCCTGGAACATAACAAGCCAGAACCGAGAGAGAGGAAATTAAACATACAGAACACATTTAGGAACCATTCATTCATCTCAGAAATTGACCACACATAAGATTTGAAAATGTCCTAAAAGTGGTGTGTGTGGATTAGGTGTAGCATTGCAGTGTTTGTGGTGCAGGTTAGGTGGTGACGTGGGATGGGGGGTCAGAGTATTTCAGAGAGCAGCAAGTTGCTTTAATGGGTAGGGGGAGCGCTCCTGGAGTCCGGACCGCTTGTTTCATGTTCCCCCCACCTACAGGCTGCTGTGGCAGCTTAAAAAGACCTTTCCTGCTGTTAGCCTGTCTGGGACTGACCTTCGCTCTCTGTGTAGTAAGATTACAGCCCAGCCATCAACTGCTGTTCTTATGCACATGAAACAGAGCTGCTGGATAGCCAGTGGTGCGGACTTACAGCACACATGGATGCACGTGCACGCATGCATGCACAGACACAAAGGCAGGAGCAGATTTCACTTAGAGTGATCTAATTGTGATGCAATGGTCTACAAAGACAACTATATAACATGTCAAAACAATGTATTTAAGAATGTAATTTCATTTCAATCATTTATTACCTGATGAGATTGAGTTCATGATTAAGTAAATAACACAGAAAAGTGTGATTGACCTGAAGTGTATAGTATAGTGTGACAAAATGAGACGGTTTAATGCATTCATATTACCTTTCCTTTCCGTATGCAGGAATTTATTGTTTCAAGGAGATCAGGCTTATTCTTCTCACTTTTAGGCACTTCTATTATTTCCTTCCCTATTAGCTCGCCTTTTTGGTAGCCCATAATGGACTCGTAGGCAGGGTTCACGTACTGTAGAGAAGTAACAGCAGTGTTAAGGCTTGATCTGAGATGGTCATCTACTGTTTGTAAAATCCACAGTGAGTTCAGACACAGTGAAGATGATGACCTCTTACAACATGAACCTTGCCAACCAAAACAATGGGTTTTTTAGAAAAGTGGACACATTTGTTGCTTATTTCATGGAGCTCAAAAACATATATTTTATGTGAAAACATAACGTGATAACACAGGCTACAGTGCTTTGATGTTAACAAAAGGGGCCATTCAGAGGGACAGAGACCGCAACTATCGCTACTGAGATCTTGGATCACAAGACATGAACAGGCACTAAAACAGGAGAGAGAGTAGGAGGGGGAGGACAGAGAGGGAGAGAGGGAGAGAGGGAGAGAGAGAGATTCACCGTTCATCACAATAAAGCAACTAGAAGTATTTAACTTGATTAGAGGACCCACCTGAATTACTTGATCTTCAGAAGTGATCTCTATGGCCTCTTGGCTTTGTTCTAGAGCTGTGAAAATAGCATTTCCAGCCCTTGTACAGGTAGAGAGAAAACAATAACAGAAACATTGTTAACATGCGCAACAAGCAGACTGTGTAGAGAGTCCTGCATCTATATACAGCTTATACACAACCCAGAATTGTACAAAGTGGATAATCCTTCTGATGCCTTGCAACAGCTTTGAATAGAGGTACTATGTAACTAATCTAAAATATAACTAAAACACTGTGTAATACACGACTCACCTCAGTTTGAACTGCGCCCGCACCTCTCCATGCTCCAACTGTAGCAGCTCATTATAGCAAGCCATCATATTGGCATTCTCCACATATCTCTGAGGGTCAAGAGGGCAACGCCAAGCAACACGGATCAATCAAAGACAACTAAAATCTCATTTTCATAACAATGTATCCATCATATTATGTTATAGTGCTGTTAATTTCATGAGTAACAATGATTCAGGTATAAGGAACTCGATGCACATGTCTCCTGAGCAAACAAAGAGGATTTACAATCTGTATTCCTGCCTTACAGTGAGTGTTGACAGTAGGGATATAAAAAAAAACGTCTAAAGAATAATACAAATACAGGCAGCAGAAGTCACATAGACACATTCACAGACAGTATTGCTCACCCTATTAAAGCCGGCATTGATCAGGGGCATCACAGAGGCTTCCTCTCTGTCTGGCCTTAAAAAGAGAACACATGTTAGCATGCAAATCGCTATGACAAATGCTTGTTTAGAGAACATCAGAGGCTTGCTCCATATGACAGGCTGCAGGCATACAGACCTCCACTGAGTCAGGCATTTTAATACTGACAATACTCCTAATTACTAGCTACTTAAAAAGAAAGTGAGTAGAAGGACAAGAAAGGGCAGAACAGGAGAGGGGGGCAGCGAGTTGTACGTACCTTTTCACAACGGCGACTATCACAGTGTTTTCTGAAGAGTTGACCGCTCTAATTGACCTGAATGTAAACAGAGGGAGCCTTTTAGCCAGTGAGCAGGCTGGTGGAAAAGCCCATGGCATCAAACCAATGTATTTTTCAGTTTTTCACGCTCCGATTCTCCCAGGCAGGCAGAGCCCAGTGGTGGAGCTCTGTGAGCAGGCCTAGGCCTCTGAAAGAATGCAGTGTACAGGGCCACTCATCCGCCTGTGGTTTTCCCCAGCCAGTGGTCATAAAGGCCCTTTAGTTCCCCATCGGAGCCTGTGCGTGTACACTGAACATATGGATTGGCCAAAATGAATAGGGTTAACATACACACTGGGCAGGGCAAATGAATGTTTGTAAATGTGTTTTCAGTTTGGGCAGAGGCTAAAGATAGAGGGTGGTATGGGCAGGCACCACTCATTTCTCATAGACATAACTCCACTAGGTAGCATGTGATGGAGGCTAGTGAGCCCAAAGTGAGCTTGCCATTTACCCCCACTGTAGCTCAACTAATTTAAATACATTTTTAATTATATTTAGATTTCTTTTTCTTTAAATCCACCTAGTCAACCGTAACGCCTGAATATAAGATGTTGTGATTGAGAGTGGGGGAAAACTATTTAACAAGTAAGCAGGGAAATCTAAACAAAAGTAATTAACAAATGGTTGAAACAAAGCTAAAACTTATAGATAAATGAGACAGCTAGGTCATGGATTAACAGTTGAAATAATTAGTTAAAAGTAACAGATGAATAGTGAAGAGTTAAAAGTAGTGGATAAATGGTTGAAATAGGTAAAAGTGATGGATTATAATGATTGAAATCATTCAACTTTGACCACATTGGTAGTACGAATGAAAACTTTACCGTACTGACGTAACAGCTGGCAGTTGAATTGCATAAATGTTAACAATATTGACTTGTATATATAATTAATAGTCTTAAATAGCATTCAGCCTAAAATCAGTTCAAATGTACACATTTGGAAAATGACAGGTTTCGATAAAGGGGTGCTTGAGTTCGTTGGACCAGGCTGGAGGTGGTACACCAGGAAAAAAAAACACTGCATTACATCATTTTAGAAATTCAACATAAAGTATGAGTACATAGATGATGAGAGAAGTGGCCTACCGGCATAGTGCTTCAGCGTCAAAGTGTCTGGAATGTCTGTGGTCAATGATGACGAGGTCATGATGCTTCTCCGAGAAGCATTCAAGAGCCGACTCCGGTGTTCGTGCCATGCTGCACCTGAAGTTGGCCTTCTCACATGCCCAGCAGAAGCCATTACTCTGACTGTCCTCTTTGGCAAAAACTAAAAGTACCTGCAAAAAAGAGAGATGACTAAGCAAACACATGCAACAGATTTATATTTTTTAAGTGACCTCTTACAATGTCACACTACTACTTCTACTAAAAATATATTACTTTATCTAAAATTTGAGTTTAAGAGAGCTTTGCAAAGAGCTATAATACATAGGGAGTGTAACATAATATGTTACATACATCAGCCATAACATTATGACCACCTGGGCATCTTTACGCAACAAAGTGTGACGCACGGTGTGTCCTGACACCTTTCTATCAGAACCAGCATTAACTTTTTCAGCAGTTTGTTGGATTGGACCACACGGCCAGCCTTCGCGCCCCATCAGTGCATCAGTGAGCCATGGCCACCCATGACCCTGTCTCTGGTTCACCGCTTTTCCTTCCTTGGACCACTTTTGATAGGTACTGACCACTGCAGACCGGGAACACCCCACAAGAGCTGCAGTTTAATAACACACAGCTAACACATCAACTGTGAGGACAAAATGTTCACTTGCTGTCCAATATATCGCACCCACTGACAGGTGTCATGATAACCAGATAATCAGTGTTATTCACTTCACCTGTCAGTAGTCATAATGCTATGGCTGATCGGAGTATATTATTTAAGGAAATAATGGAGAGTGGGGGGGTCACTGTGGAAAAAAGGCATCATCAGAAAAAATCTTACATGTAAAGGTATTAAGAAGTGCTTTATAAGATGCATTTGCACTAATGGTAGGGGGCCAGAAATCGTATTTATTGTAAAACTTTTGAGAGCAACAGGGATAATTGATAAGTAGCTGTGATCTGATGAGGAAAACTGACATAACTCATCAAAATGATCTGCCTCCACCCTGCGCTATAGAATTAGTTCAGTAAAAAAGACAAGAGAAGCACAAATTACAGTTGTTACATGAGGTTTTGATGCCCGAGTGTATCAACAGCTCTGAGTTGTCAAGTCATCATTGGTGCATTCATGCTCATTTGCGCCTGTCATCCTAATCAGCCTGCAGTGCGGGCTTGACTGTGACCTCAGGCCTCTATCGGACAGGCCCTGATTGATCAGGCTCAGCTCGTACTTGGGTGCGTCAGAGATTTTATTGTCCGCCATGATGTATGACACAATTAGCCGAGGTGGCCTTGACTGGCTGCGGCCCCTCCCACCGGTCTGCCAAGGCTGTGGCAGAAAGTGCTGCTGCTACCGTCAAACCAGCCATTGAGAGCATGCTCTCTCTCTGCCAGCATACTTTCATATAACCCCTTACTTGCGTAAACACTAGACCAGAGATTTAGGCCCGCCTCCAAGAGCAGTGCTGCACTAAGGGCAGATTCATGAGTCACTCTCTCAAACAGACGTCATCTCCAACTGTTGGCAGGGAGCAGAATGAACGTAAAGAAGGGAAAGTTTGTTCTGCAGTTTTAAGTTTGCATCACACCTGTAAAATTGAGTTAGGTCACAAAGAGCTGACTTTGTTGAGAAAACTAGAGCTACTGTCCTCCACACAATGCGGGAATAGAGGGTTGGTTGTTTGACAGTTGTCCTCTTGATTCATTCTGACGATCGGTGTGGCTTTATTTAAGCACCAAAACGCAGCTTCAGGCCTGAAGCAGAGAGCCCTTATGCCTGAAAAGGGGTGTTGCTAATGCAAACCATATTCCACATATGAACATTTTCCCTACAAGCAGCAATAAGTGTCGGGGTCATAAATACATCACCACTAAGTCCTGCAGCTATGTTCGGTACGCACAGGGAATTAGATCAGAATTCCACATTGGGATGTTGGTAGAAAAGTCAACATTCCCGCAGAGGTGGAGGAACGGGGTAATATAGGCTGAGATAAGGTCTTTTCACATGCCTGTTCTCTACTAGACAGATAGGCCTCACTCAGTAGTAACAAACCCAGTCGCAATGGAAGTAAGCTCACACAAAAAAGTAAGCTAGAGTGTTTTTTTAAGTGAGCATACACTGTTTATGCTCCAAAAAAAAAAAAGATGGAAAAGGCAGAAAAAGTAGCAAAGAGACAAAGACAGTAAGAGGGGAAAAAACTAGTTTGAAGGGGGTAGCGAGCATTTTGGCGTGGTCTGGTCTAGAAAACATCATTGTTGAAAACAGAGAAGGCCCGGCCAAATCCTGTGAGCCATGAGAAAAGAGGAGGAGTAGAGAGGAGAAGGGCATGACAGGATCAGCTGTGAGTGACAAAAACAGGAAGGGGATATCTCTCTACCTCGTTTTCCTACTGTGGTCACACTGGAGCGCATCAGACAATAAAACCGCGTCTGTGCACTTATACATGGCATTAAATTACAGGACGTCTAATGTGTTGCTTTTCTTTGTCTCTCACTGACTTCACAGTCATCATTGTTATACTAAGTATAGCAGTAGTTGCGGTTTCGGTTTAATTTTGATTAAAACTTGTATTTTACTTGAAGGAGCTATGCGCTAGGGCTGCACCTAACAATTATTTTCATGATGGATTGTTTTGTGTCAGTGAAATTTAAAAAAGAAATATGAAAAAGTGCCCATCAAAATCCACACATCCGGGCTGCTGGAAGAAGCGAGTTGTTTGGCATTCTGCTTAAATGAATTAATAAAACAATTAATAGATTATCAAAATAGCTGATGATTAATGTTCAGCTCTGCAATGCACCCTTGAAACCAAGATGAAACCAAATTCTGTGTGCCCTCAAAATACATTTAAAATGGCTAAAAAGCTGACTTTAGGAAGTCTCCGAGTTGTCACACAACAGCAGCAACACATGCCAAAGGAACAAGCACAGTACCAAACTGTATAATGAACCATTGAACGTCAGAGAATGTCCTATTTGCAGTGACAAAACTGGTCCATGGATCCTCTGTGCAGTTCTTCCATAACGTGCATTGTTCATTATGGTATGTTCTTGGTCATAAATGTTTGGGCTTGTTGCCTTGACAACCCAAGGCTGCATTGCACACAATACGTCCATTAACAGTTTTTTTTTTTTTTTCTTCTTCTTCTTTGAATGTTTGCATGGGGACTTTTTTTTTCTTTCTTTAATCTCTTAGCGAGGTGTGGTATCTTTGAGAAATTCAAGATTAGTTCTAACTGCAAACAAAAGTAGGTGACATTTTGAAATACTAATCCTAGAAAAATGCTACCAAATATTGACAGTCACACCAAGTTTAGCACCACGGCTCAGCTAAAAGCCCCTAAATGATACGGACATAAACATTTCACTGGAACACTTCTGTTGTTCCGTGGAAAGCCTTAATGCTTTCAAGCACATAAGCATTGATCACTCAGATGTTTTGCATTGTTTTACGATACCTGAAGTGGGTCTTTAAATAACTTCATTGGTCCAAATTGCACCTCTGTTAATGTGGTCTGAAAGATAACAAGAAGAATACAAGGGTTAGAAAAAAAAATCATTTCATAAATGTGATATTTTCTCACTTATTTCATATTTGTGTTTTGTTGACAATGGCTCCACTTCACCGTCATTGTTTAGGATCCCACAGACCCAACTGTGTGTGTAATAGTAACAGTAATAGCAAACTCCACCATGTAGTTTTTTCCTTTTCTTTTCCTCTGACCTTATTAAAACCCAATATGTAGAAACTTGATTATTATACCACTTATTGAAGTGGTAACCCTTTGCCACAAACTGAGCTTAAACATTTTATAAAGTTGAGAAAATATCAATAAAGATCATGAAGAATTGTTAAAAGGAAAAGAAATATGCTATGTTTCATATCTTATATGGGTTATTAATTAACAAATATCCATTGATTACAGTATGTTAATTTACACAGTGCTTACTGATATTTAGGTTGCTTATAATTATGGTCAGTTAAACCCCAGAGAGACCTCTAATGAATGACCTGAGTGGAGTAATGCTGCACAAAAAGAATCATCAACAGCAATCACAGACACTGAGTATATTAAAACCCATTGCATTTAACTATGTTTTACAGCTAAGGTCTTACTTTACTTGAGTACTTCCATTTTCTGCTTTTTCTACTTTTCAGAGGGAAATAATGTACTCCACTACATTTATCTGACCGCTTCAGTTCCTTGTTACTCTACAGAGTAAGATTTCACTTACGAAACATGATAATCAACTTACAAAATATTGTTATATATTAAACTATGAAAATACAATAGTTGAAATTGGTTCCACATCAACCAACTACTAGTAAACAACTAACAGTAAAATGCTTCTTACATTAGCTATTGCATTAGTCGTAGAAATCAATACTGTAACGTAGTATAACATTCAAACACAATTTTCATGATCATCATCATTGGTACTTTTACTTTATGTACACTGTGCTAATAATACTTGCATATGTTCACTTTAGTGACATTGTAACACACACACACACACACACACACACACACACACACACACACACACACACACACACACACACACACACACACACAGTTGAAATTAGCTGCACTTTGACCTGTTGCAAACACCATCTCCATATATAACACCATGAAATGGGTCATTCTACACTACTTACTTTTGATACTTTCAGTAAATTGTGTACTCTACTCTCACGTCAGTCAGATTTTCATATTTTTATTGTTGGATTATTGCTTTTACTCAAGTAAAGGATCTGTATACGTGCTTGTAATTTAATCTCCTGATTTCTAGTTCAATTATATAGAGTTGTGAAAAAAAAGGCAGATTCCACACAGACAGGTTTTCAACTCATTACACTTCCCCTACATGAGCTTACTCTTTTCTGTCTGCAAATAATTTAGCTTCCTTCCTGCTAAATGGAACCCAGCTCAGGGGTTAGTAACCATAGCAACCAAGCCCCTTGCGGACCGCCATCCCTCTAGAATTCCTCTTCTCCGTAAACAATCTACACATGTGAGGAGGAATACAGAGAGGAATTTTAGAGCACGCCGGGCAGCAGTAAATCACTTCTTGCTAAATTGTAAGCCTTTTGAAAGCTCCATGAAACAACAAAGGGGGGGAAAAAGCTGATTAGCCCTCGGTTGTAGCCAAATTGACGTCATCATGACACTAGGCTGTTTGTTGTAGTTGTCCACAAACAAGGAGTATGGCATCAGGATGGATACAAGCTGATGCTCTGTGATCATCTGATCTTTCACAGACACGAGGACCTGGTCGCATGATAAGCTCATGTGCACTGGAGAGACAGTATGCATGTGTTACTGTGTGTTAATGTGTGTTTCTGCGTATGTGTGTGTGTGTGTGCGTGTGTGTGTGTGTGTGTGTGGCTATATAGTGGGGACTAACATATGGAAATGCCACAAATGCATGCTTTTCCAAGCGGGTTTAACCAAACAAGACCTAGTTTTCCTGTTGTCAGATATGATTTCAATTACTCTGACCATGTGTGTCAGAACAAATAACTCTCAGCTCAGCTTTATTAATTTTGATTAGAGATTCAAACCACCCATTCATTTTCCTGTGGAGGTCAAACAAAACATTCTCTCTTCCATAGAGTACTGCTGGGTAAATGTCACAGATGGTGGCCGCAAAAAAAAATATACCACACATAAAAAAATCATGTTTCCACTGTGCTGCTGTTTGTTGGTGAACCAGTTGAGGTCAGGGTCTTTGACGTATTGAGTTTGGACCACAGAGCCTCCAGCTAGCTGAGCCTATCAAGAGCAGTATGCAGCGCTCCATCTCCATCCAGGGAGACTTTCCTCTCTAACTGACACTGACACAACCAATGCAACTGCAGCTGAGGTTGTGTAACTTGAATAGCCTGCCTGCCACTCTCTCACACACACATAAATGCACACACACAGAGCTGAACCAGTCTGCCAGCCTCTTCGGGCAACATACTCCTCTTGTACAGTACACACACGCACATACTGCAATGAATCACTCAGCCAAGCATTTGCATCCCGCAAACATCATGCTGGCACTCAACCAGAGGCAAACAAAGCTGGGGAAGTGAGTGAGCATGTAGGCCAGGCAGGCGAGGAGTACGGCCATGGTGAGTGTGCCTACGTAATCCATGTCCCGCCTGCTTGCTATATGCTGCTGTGTTGTACCAGTCACTCTGGGCTCTCTCTCTCTCTCTCTCTCTCTCTCTCTCTCTGCACATGGGCCACTTGTTAATCAGACAACAAGTTTGTTGAGCAGTAGGGCAGAGTGCAGATTACAATAGAGGTCTGAGTTGAAAGCATTGCATCCTGGTCCTTGCAGTTTGTCTTTACTCATAGTTACAAGCTGGGTGATAAATCAATTACAGAGTTAACTGACTTTCAGTGTAATCATACAGTATCATGATGATATGATTTTGTAATGTTATTGTTCTAGAAATTGAAGTTTTTGTTTTACACATATGGACAGTTTGGTCTACTGTAATTGGAGAGTGGAGCACAGATTATTGCTTCTAATTTTCATATGTGGTTTTGTATAATTTGCCATATCATGATATATATTGATATAACCCTACTGCATTTGTAGTAACTAAAATGCAGTAGTGTCCAGTTCCAAATTACCACTCACAGACCCCTGAGACAAAGATTTCCTGTGGGCCCTTACTGACCTCCCCCTTTTCTCTCACCCTATTCTGTAAATACACTCAGTTGCCAGTTTATTAGGACATCTAGCTGAATGACGTTGATTCAACTTTATGGTCATTTCGGAGGGTGCAGTTTGTGGTGCTGTTAAAAGGACTTAGTGGCATCTAGCGGTGAAGTTACAAATTACAACAGGTTGAATACCACTCCCCAAGACGGAGAAACTGCAGTGGCGGCAAAGGTCATGGAAAACATCAAACCATTTGGTTTGTCTGTTCTGGGCTACTGTAGAAACATGGCAAAATCCATCTTTTACTTGGCTGCACCTAATAAACTGGCAACTGGGTGTACATGTATGTGTAGCTTGTAGGGTTGTCCCCTAATAGTTCACTAACTATTCGTCGATGCACTTTTCATAAGTCACAGAAAAACAAAAGCAACATCAAACTCTGTTCGTGTTCTGTACAGCGTACAGAGTCGATACAAGTGCTCTCTTTTTCCAAAATTTTAAATATGTATGTCAATCTGTGAGCGCATTGGAATCATTTTTCTGTAAGGGATGCCTGGGATGCTGTGTTACTAAACACTGAATCAGTAGCCACCAGTGATTAAATAAATTTAGCAGATATCAGACACACATAATCTTATGATGATATTGACAAAGAAGCTGTATATATAAAGGTGGATTGGTCACATCAAAGTCAGATCTGTTCGATAATGGCACTATCTGCGCTGCTACCAAGCCGGCGTATCCAGTTATCAACTAAATCCCTAGATCTAATTACAACAAACCAATTGTCACAGTGAACCTGGAGTCTGTGGGTCCTCTAAGGGGGCCAAACACACCCTGGAAATCCAAATCAAAAGCTTGCGCCAAGATTTAATAAAACAACCTCAAAAGTCAATCTCTCGCTGTGAGGTGACCAGGTCGACAGCTTCAAACTGTCTAATGTCATGTGATATCACATCTTTCCTCCTTGTTCAGGTCGATCTGGCCACATGAGAGCTGCTAGGTGTCTACAGTCATCCTGAGCAGCATTCAGGACAGTCTGCAGTCTCCTGCTACTCTCATTCAATACACCTAATGTATTTACATAGCGGAGTTGCCTCTGACCCTATATCCTGCTCCCAGTGTATCCGGCCCTATAGATCTCCTCCTCCTCCTCCTTCTCCTCTCCTCCAGCCCACCAGCTTCTCTGCCTCACACACACATACACACACACACACACACACACACACACACTACACCATACACACTGGGAAAGTGGCTTTCCACTAAAGTGAAAAACAGGAAATTGGATGACATTGTTCGGTGCACCGACGTCAGCAGTGAGAGATAGAAAGAGTAAACAGCTTCCTCCACCCCAGAGCTGGGACCAGGATGCAGGGAATCTTGGGATGCCTTCCCTGCTCGTGCTTCTTAGGAAAACGTGCGTGTCTGCCCCATTCACCAACAATCTCCAGATCCCTTTTGCTTTGACACAGCTCTCGTCACTTTGTCCCGCCTTAAAACTTCTCTCCATGTGGTTAAGTAGAGTATTATATGCAGAGCTGATAACACTACAGTAGCATTAGACAAGATCCACATTTCTTCCTTAGAGGGAGTCAAAAGTGTTGGTCTCAAAACTAGTGGTGGTGTGTCTTACGTGGGTTTGTGTACGTGTATATGTGTTCCGGTCTAAAAGTGTGAATCAAATGGAGATGAATCAATGTTCTTCATTAGGTCTTATTAAGGGGAGCAGTCCCAGCCACAGGTGTGGATGCACACTATGTACCAGACAGACAGATAGAGAGTCAGACACACTAACTCTCACACACACTGAGCCAAGTGATGGGCTAAATGGCACTGAGTGACACACCAG